CACTAAAACCCGTTTAAGAGGATTTCACATGGACCCAACCAAAACGCGTATTAAGCGAGAAAGCGTACTAAAATAAATCTTACTATTACTGTACTAATTTCTAATTATATACTAATTTCGAATATGTAGATATTTAATTATATATTTATAAATTACTTTAAATGCATAGTGTAATTACAATTACGTTATTTAAAGAAATCTTTTATTTTGGTTTAACAGACAGACAGATGCACACAAGATTGCGTTAAAAATGTCTCACGATTCGTAATTTTGCAACAGTTCGGGAAGTGCTGCTATCCATGTATCAATATCTTGTTGTACCACTGTCTCCGATTCCCCACTGATTTAATGGTACAAAATTCCATGGCCATTTTTACAAGGATCTATCCAGCCATCAGTGATCTGTGAGCTTTCATCAATATTAGGCGCTTTCTCGCATATTATGAGGCTACTTATGAGCGGTTTTAAAGCTCGTGCTTGATGATTACATTCCACTAAAACATTGTATAATTTATCAAACTTTCCTACGTTTTGATTTTTTCTATGCTCACCTCCCATTCTGTATTTTTCTTTAATTTCTTCGGTCAGTTGACAGCTACCTGGCCCGTGTTGGCGTAATAAACGGAATGATGGATCATATTAAGCGGGTAGATTAAAATATGTTTAATTAGAACTTTATGCATATATTGTCAAACACTATCTACGGTCATAAATCTATGGTCAAACATTATATTTGATTCCATGTCTTACAGTACCGGCCACAAAACTGCCCTCCGGTACTGGCCATTGTTTAAGTTTAATTTTGAGTGCCTATAAACAGATAGGAATTCCTTTATCTAGCTTTCCGAATTAGTGTAGCCATGGCTTGTGTTGTTTAAGGCCCGAGCCCAAGAGGGCAGTTTCAAGTAGGCTCATTGGGCCCACTCTGGATGTGTGCTATTATAGGGTGCAGGGGACGGGTCGAGAGTATAGGAGCCGCTCTCCTTGTCTTCTGCTACCGAGGAGTGTCGCGATATTACGTTTGTCCGTTCTCCCTATCCTCCGCGAGTCCGCGAAGCTGCAACGCTGAGGTAGTGGTGGTGGGGCCGCGGGGGGAGAGGAGTGTTGGTATTGCGGTACGCCATTCTCCCTCCCCTCCGCGGCCGAAATGAGGTGAGCGGCGGAGCCACAAACCAGGTCCACCGCTGGGGGTTGGGAGGCTTGCTGCTTATTAGAAAAGTCTCTGGTCAGCGAACAAGGGGGCCTTGGTTGGCCGTGAAAAATGGGCCCAGTAGGAAGGCGCGCTGAATGTTTCAGCGTGCCTTATCTAAGGGGATGGTTAGCCTTGAGCTTTCCAGTGGTAGGGCCACGCAACAGCCTCGGCTGTTGCACGAATGGGCAGGCTCGTCCGGCTAAGTACCACGACCTCACAGAAGACCGGCGTAAAGTGGAATTATAATACTTTCGCGTTTCGTCTGGTGAGTGAGGTGGCCAGAGCCCAATTTTCAAAAAGTTGTCAACGCATCTGCAACCCTCGGGTGTAGCAGATGTCCATGGGCGGCGGTATTCACTTAACACCAGGTGAATCGTCTGCTCGCTTGACAACTTTTCACATAAAAAAGCGGCTGTGGTGGCGGCCAGCGCTGTCAGCGTCACAGAAGTTTGCGAAAGTTCCCGTGGCCCTTCGGATGTGTGCGTGGGGTTATGGTATATACGTAGGAATTTCCCCAACGTTAACAAAAAGTTTTTCCTACATGACAGCTATTATAGATGGCTCCAGCTCAGGAAAAATCAATGAATTTTTGCCCAATACGCCAGCCCTTCATTTTCACTTCTCGCTTTAAAATACGTCCGCCACGGACGTATTTCAAAGCAAGGCGGGAACCCGGTCAGAGAGGTCATAAAGACCGTTCTGCACATCATTCATTAAAAAATATTTGATAATGCCGAACTCGAATGACTTCTACGTGAGGCTGTTCCCACATCGGAAGCAGTCTATAAGCCCAATGCTGGCAACCTATTTGGAAGCTAGCTGAGGCCTTTTCGATTCGGAGTCAAATCTCTTTGGCACTGCACTAATGAAACTTCCAGCAATGATGTCCCTCATGGAGGAATACTTTCACACTGCCTGCCTGAAAGTCTGGCCACCACACCAATTAGCTTTAAGTCTTCATCTCATATACACACAGCTCATGGACATTCAATATCCTTTAAATGAAATCTGGTCGTTCCCGGCCAAATATGCCGCGCCATTAAATAAAACTCATTTTTGAAGGGAAGTACAATTACTGGTAGAATCAAACATCGATGTCCGGTTTTTTAGTAGTGTAGTGTAAATGTTAGTATGGCCAGTAGCGTTTAATTACGAATCTCGATTAACAACAATAAGCCGCTTATCGCTCGTACTCATATCAATGAATCTAGGCCGATTTCTTCAACTTAATTGTAATGTCATCTGCGAATGCCATCAATCAGACATTCCCAGACGAACAACACAGTACGTCCAGTATATACACATTGTTTTACTCAAAGATGTCTAGCGCGACATCGTGACAAAAGACTGTGCATGAACCAAACTCAGATCCCAGGCCGGTACTGTGAAAGCTAGGCAAGAACGCTGGTTAGGTCTTTTTGACCAAAACCGTTGTGAACTGGAATCACCTTGAAATCAAACTCAAGGCCTTGAACCCCCAAACTAGAGTCAGCCATCGAAGAATCGAAACGAAAAGTGAAATTATCAAGCGACCGGCGCTTTAACGTTCCGCCTGACCTCTGATGGTTGTTTAGGAAAAAAACAGCCAAAAGAGTTTACAACCGATATCAACCTTATTGTCCGGACTATTGCTTCTGGCTGATCACTACTATCCTGAACAGATATTTCTCCGAACGGAGCTTATCCCAAAGAGCGTCAACCACCCCAAGCTCGTAAGTACGGGTTTATCGATATCTCAAAGCAATTCGACAAAGCAGTTTGCTTTACAAGCACTTTTTATCAATGTTCCTAACAGACTCATGGACACCATCGGAGCCCGTCAAATCGTTCTCTTCTATATCGTACACTCCACGAGCCGTCGCCTCACGGTGGGGATTTCTGAAGGCCTTCGCCTCTATCTTTGCACTTTTCGCTCTACACAAGGGCAAAACCCTAAAGAATCACAAGTTAATCTCTGTCGCAGACGACACAGTCCTATTTTATTCAAATAAATATTTTGACCGAATAACTATGCACCTCTATAACGGTAAAAGCAGCGTAGCAAATACACAACACGGGCTAACGCCACAACAAATTCTAATACTCCCTATGAAACGAGCTCATTAAAACAGGAAGCCAGGGTAAATCTTATCATTATAGCCAATCGAACCCTTAGAAGTATGTCAAATACCTTAGTGTCACTTTCAACTCCAGATTGTTTTATTTTTTGTTTTCTGAAACGTAATTCCTACAGTTGGATAAGTTATTGGTGAAAACGCCCAGGTTTTTTAACAATTAATTAGTGATAGGTCTTGTTTTTTGGTATCTGGGGGGAAATCTTCAAAAGATACCCATTGTCATTATATGATAGGATTATGTGGGATCCTTACCCACTAAAGCCTCCTCGGTGGCCACCTTCTGTTCGTTTGGAGGGACTCAGTGATCTCCAACGGAACGCACCGGTGTCCCTCGGTACTGCGCGTGAGCACGCCTCGAAGGAGAATAAACCTTCCCCGATTCCCTCGCCATCTTGCAGCAGGTCGAGACCACTTCGTGTTGCTGCCAATCTATGTCCACTTCTGTTCGCCTTTTACGACAGGCAGGAGATACCTTAGTCCTATTCTATGAGCCCGGGCTTACAAGGCTGACGGGGCAGCACGTTTGTTTCTGCCCGCCTGGCGCAGAATTTTTATTTATATTGAAATTTAATTCATATTGTCGTCTTTAATAACTGTCATGGTGGTAATTAGGAAGAAGTGACTACCTCTTCTAGTCAATTATCTTATCTTGAATTTTTTAAGAATATCTGTTCCTTACCATACAGTCTATGCCATACATTATGCATAAAAATATATTTCTACTTGTTTTGTTGGATAACAACATCCAAATATATGCAAGCTTTTTGGTAATATCTATGCTTTAAACTTTAAATGTATATTTTTACTAAGGAATTTAATAAAACTTAATAGTATTATTGTATATCATTATATTTTGACAAAATCCAGTTTCCAACAAAAATGGAATGGAAAACAATGATTCAATTTAATCAAAATGAGGAACTCAAAAGGGATATAATGCTTACAACAACCAAGTTACAGGTTTAGATATATTATTTTAAGTTTTATACCCAATGTGTGCTTTCATTTATGGAAGAAATCATTACCTTGGTTAAAATGTTAAAAGTACATTTAAAATGTGTTATAAAATTGGTATAAAATTAATTTTATACACACATTAACACTAAATTAGATCTATTTCAAAATCCAGAAGCCTGGTTTTATATTAAGATTGAAAATTAAATTAAATTTAATCCTATGATTAATTAATGTTTGTTGGTTTATTTACATAATTATGTATGTTTGTGTTTTCTTATTAATTCATCATTACAAAATAGTAAATATTTTAATGTCTATTAATGAGTACTTGTTAATGTACTTGAAATTAAATGTTACTTTTAATTATAACAACATTTTGACTTACCTTTCTTCCTATTTTAATAAACAAAAATAAATAATAGGTTAGTATGCACCATGTATACATAATAATTTTATTTATGAATAGTGATTAAAACACCATAATAAGGAAAATAACTACTTAGACATGTTTTAAAAATTCATTTGTCAAATAAAGATAATTGTATTTTTTCATATTTAGTGATCATGTATCAAATCAATTGATCATCTATGTAATGAATAATTAATTATAAATTTCATTGTTATTCTACTTAATCTAACATAAAGTAGCCACAACATTTTAAAAGCAATTTGACACAACCAAATGAAAATATTTGCAAATGCAAATAGGCATGTGTAAAGTAATCACAGCATTACACGACATCTAAAATAAAAATATTTTATTCTTATTATACTAAGAGTTTATATATTTTATAGCTATAAATGCACATGTCATGTTTTCTAAGACATTCTAAACTGACAATAAAATTGAGGAATACTTTGTGACTAATTTCAGGAAGTCTAAATCAGTCTCATACAAATTAATCAATTTGTTTACTGTTACATATATTTTGCATTTAGGAATATGTGATTTAGTTTTAAATATTCAAATATCCTATAATTCTATGCAACATACACATATTTAAAATTAAAATGGAAAAAGAAATTGACATTGGACTTACTACACACTGTTTTACAATGTTCTGTTCAACTTTAAGTATAAACAGTAAATATAATATTATTTACTGGTTAAACTGTTTTTGGATATGCATTTGATCATTTTTAACATTTTAATACATCATGCATTACAAATGTGTAAACTGAAGCAATAAAACAATCTTTCTTTATAATTAGTACAATCAGTTGAGTTATCGTTAAAATGATAATATCTCCATTTCTGTTAACATGTAATTAATATCTGACATAGGATAAGCATTAAAAATTTTAATGACTAAGTTATGTTTTATTCTATTTTTTTCTGTTGTTTCCAATGCATAAATAGATAAATAACCAAGGTCATGAAATCATGAGACAATATTGAAACTATTAAAACTTATTTAAATTAAGTAACAAAATGTGTCATACAAAAATACTCTGTCACAAACAAGGGGGAGGTAAAGGCATATCAATTAACTTACAAACTTCTAAAAGAAAATTCTTCAATATAGCTGCTTGATTACCCCTAGACCCATTTAATGTTATAGTAGGAATAAAGTTGGGCTTAATAATGTTTGTATCATCACCATGCTTCTTGAGTAAAATTGAACCATGTTCATTTGAAGCACAGTTGGTTATTGGTTCTGGATCAATATTCATTTGTTTGGCACACTGAAATTTAGGTACAAAAAATCTGTTAATATTGGAAATAAACTATTCAATGAATTTCTAAAGAAAAACCCATTACCCTTTCAAGAGCCTTATCTGCATTAATATTGTCCTCAATCATACACTCTGTAAACTTTACAGACTGACTCATATTAGCCAAAACCTCAATGGAACAAGAATGAATTTTATTTGCGTAACATTCCTCTTCACCATGTTGACACATAAAATAATACTGCCCATTTGCCTCTTTCGTCTGTAAATCAGAATGGACTCCTTTTTTTATATATTACTTGTAGATAAAATATATCTTTAAGTATGATATGGCTGTATTTAGATTAATGGAAGTATAATTATATCATTGAACTTACACTAGCTTTTCCATAGGGAACTAATGTTATGTGTAAAAATTCTGATAATTTATCAGCTACAGGGCTTAGGTGTTTAATAAAAAAATGTTTGGAATCTGGACATAAGGCTTCGTAATACACTCGTATTTTCACTCGATCTTGCTTGTGTTTATTATAATTGTCATCTTCTAATACTACAATATCTCCCTAAAAAGATAATACATTAAAAACAAACCATGATCTATTAAAAAAATATGCAAAGATAAAAAAAGGATCTTTTAAATTTACCCCAGATAACTGTGCTGCTGGTTTTACAGGTATAAGCCTTATAATTTGCCACATAATTAATATAAGCATTAACAATACTAATAATCGATACCTACTACAAGGATAACAAGCCATTTTCACAGTGTTTTTTTTTTATAAATTGGGTCAACTATCAAACATTATTGTCTTTTGGATTTATATAATAATTTAAATGTTGCAATTTTATATTCTTAGAATATTTTAATAATGAAACAATATCATGTGATAATTGACAATGTCATTATGACAATTGACATTATTTATTTACGCATTTCACAGAACATATTTTTTTTTACATATCTGACAAACGATGCGAACAATCAGCCAAGGAGAAATTATTATATGTACATTGTAAGTTTTGTTGTGTTAGTGTAGTTTGCTGTAACGCGATGACGCTGCCCTCTTTTAACATTTTTTGGAAATAAAAAGTTTTGTAATTAACTACGCGATGATCAAACAAATGTTTACAGGCTCGCAATAATCGCGGTGCTCGCACTTGCCGTTAACTGAGATGAGCCATGTATGTATTTAATTATATACTATATCACGTGTTGCGTTAGGCGCTGTAAGATTTAGAAATCGTCAGTACTACGATGATTACTTTAGCTTGGGCAAGAAAATCATTTTGAATGATATTATCATCTCCAGTCCGGCTATCCCAAGAGTAGCTCGATAATTTGAGTAGTTTTTATACCTCGGATAATTCAACTAGGCCAATATAACTTGAACAAAGAGTTCGACAGAACCATTCATCTGGGCTCAACTTGGTTACATTCTCTCCATCCGCACCCCGCCATTGCCTCAATGCCTGAAGTCGAAAGTCGTCAGTATGTCCTGCCCATGAGGAGACGGATAAAGACTTGTTAAGGGTAAAGAAAAAATATTTGTTTAACTCTTAATTTTATTAAATGATTCTCTCATTCAGTCAAATGTAAAGCGGTGAACTTCTCCATATCATAGAAGCCAGCTTTTACTTGTCTACCGCCAAAGAACCTGCCATTTAAGTCTACTACTGCCTTAATAGCACTTTCAATTCTCTTGAATTCAACAAATATTCTTACAGCTTCTTCATTTGGAGCATTAGGCATTTCAAAAATTAATACTTTTATAACATCACCATACTTTGTATTACATTCATCTTTAACCTCAGGTTCTAACTCTTCATCAACATCTCCTGGTCCAACCATGTTCTGTAATTATTTTAATAAAAATTATTAATATCTACATAGCGCTTCTTAATATTCAGAATAAAATATATTAAACATATTTAAAAATTATAACACTAACACATGGACATAAAATCTATTAATTTAATTTTTTTTGCGATTATGAAGGTAAGTCAGTTATTAGACATCGACACAGCCAGATTTGTTTATTTCAGTTATTTTTACAGCATCCTGTCGTACGGCATTTTGTTTTGGGTTAGTGCATCAGTTCATCTATTTATTCTTCAAAAAAGAACTGTCCTAGCAATCTATAACATCGGAACCCAGAATACACTGGGAGATCTTTTTATAGATACTCACTGTTCCGTCTCATTATATTTATTTTTATATTTTGTATGTTCGAACTAACCTTCATTATTACTTAAAGATTAGTGACAGACATAAATTAAATACTAGAAATAAGGGCAAACTAACTACGTCATTGTTTTGTCTATAAAAAGTAAATAGGTTCTCAGGGCAAAGTGTGCGCATGTATAATAAAATCCCACAGTCGATATTAAGGTTGCTAATTGATCAATTTAAAAGCAGAATTAAAAGTAAACTTATGGTTAAAGCATATTATGCCATTGCGGAATATCTCGACGACGCCAATAGTAATATAGGAGTAGAATAATACTGTTGAAACTCACATAGGGTAACAAAGGACTATTATACCTGTACCATGTTATATTGTAAGCTGATATTATTAAAAAAGAGCATTTGTTAAGTTTTTTACCGGTGTTCTGCTCAACAGAAACTGCTTTCCGAACCGAATTTTTATGTACAATTCGACGTTTCATAAGAACGCGCAAGCTTCTGATTGAATAAAGATATTTTGAATTTGAATTTAATTTGACTTTAATGATCCTCAAGCAGAGATGTTATACACAAGAACTGACAAGAAACTCTGAAACTTAAATAATGTTTTAAAAAAATATGTTTTTTTTTACTATGGTTACATTACTTCTCGCTTCTAAAACTATGTTCATTCAATTGGTTCTGGCCGTCATATTTATTTTTAACTAAATTATACCCTAGAGAAATTGATAAACAGTTCTAGCCTATATTGTTAATTTTTTTAATATATTCTTAATTAAGCTTTTGACTATTGCTGCAACTTCTCCTACTATGTAATACTTACTCTTAATAACACTACTTTACTTGGAGATTTCATAATTTCTGTGATAGAAGGCTCCGATTTTGACATTTGAGGCGAATTGGACGATGCATTTGGCGAATCTACAAAATAGTTAGCATTATTCAGTATTCTTTATGATATTTTTTCATATAAATAAAATATTTTTAAAAATAATTATTTGTGCTATATGTAAAATAACAAATGGCAAATAGCTCTATACAAAAATGATATACGTTTATGACCATATGTAATCATTATGTTAGACAATTGCATTATAATAGTTGATCTTACAAATTAACCATGAACTTTTCTCTTTTCTTTTTAGTTGCATAAATGGGCAATCTCGTCCAAAGAAGTGCCACAGCTTCACAGAAGAGCGGCGTGTAATAATAAAGTAAGTGAAGTGATACTTTCGCGTTTCGTCTGCTGAAGTAGACAAGGTATTTTAAAGGTTGTCAACTCATCTGTAACCCATCAGTGTTGTAGATGTCCATAGGCGGCGGGAATCACTTAACATCAGGTGAATCATGTTCTCGCTTGACAAGTTAACATAAAAAAACAATACCTGGTCCTGATGGCAATGGCATACCAAAACCGGGTGGAGGCATTACATTTCCATCTTTTTCATGAATTATGCGACCACCCCTTTTAGAAGTCTTCTCTACTTGTAAAGCTACAGACATTCCTTGTTCTTTCTTCCCTAAGCCCTGACCCTCCTGAAATAAGGTATTCAAAGAATTTCTAAAGGATATTAATATGCAAATGCTATTTTCTGCACTTAAGATGAAAATTAGTAGAAAAATGGACGAAGTTTTTCGCCGCTGCGAGGGATTTGATTTCGTTCAGCTTGGTAGCTAGAGTGTCGAGTGCATATCCTGGAGTACATGTTATATTTATAACATGTACTCCAGTACTCCATAGTTTAAAACCAGACTAAATCGAGCAACCAAAGAACTAAAAGATCTTCTGGCTCACGTTGCCAATGAATCGCTAAAATAGAGATTAATGGAAATTTCCCCAAATACAAATGGGACCCACAACCTCTGGGAAGCAACAAAGTGCCTTCCTCAGCCACAACAGTGTTCACCAAGAAAAATCCCAGGCCTTTGCTACATAATGAGCGGGAGTCTTTATACCCAACAATATGGATAGCCCTGAAGATCCAGAAATAAATGAAGTCCTAAAGCAAGATCTACAACTATGCCTGCCACTGAGACCCACAACAACGAGGGAAATAGCTAGAGTAATAGCAGAAATGAATCCCAATAAAGCACCTGGTTTTGATCTAATTACTACCAGGGAACTGAAAGAGCTCCCTAAAAAGTTAACAGTGGTAGGGCCACGCAGCAGCCTCGGCTGTTGCACGAATGGGCAGGCCCGTCCGGGTAAGTACCACGACCTCACAGAAGACCAGCGTAAAGTAAAAGTATGACAAATACTTTCGCGTTTCGTCTGGTGAGTGAGGTAGCCGGAGCCCAATTTTCAAAAGGTTGTCAACGCATCTGTAACCCTCGAGTGTGGCAGATGTCCATGGGCGGCGGTATTCACTTAACATCAGGTGAACCGTCTGCTCGTTTGACAACTTTACGCATAAAAAAAAAAAAAAAAAAAAGTGCATTGTTTTTTTGGCCATCCTTGTCAATGCCACACTGAGAATCTCGTATGTTCCCGCACTCTGGAAAATATCTCAATTTGTAATGATTCATAAACCTGGTAAGCCGCTTAACGAAGTTTCATCTTATCGTTCTATTAGCCTGACGCCTGTGCTGTCAAAATTGTGGGAAAAGATCATCCTTGCACGATTATCCCCTTGCCTTGACGAGGACCATATAATACCTGACCACCAATTCGGTTTTCGGAAGCACCACTCTACTATAGAGCAGGTACATAGAGTCTATTATACAATAATACAGTGCATGGAAAATAAAGAATATTGTTCGGCTGCTTTTCTTGATGTACAACAAGCCTTTGACCGGGTATGGCACAAAGGACTACTGTGTAAAATCAAAAAATACCTTCCACACTCCTACTACCTGCAGATGGACTCTTAGTGACAGAAAGTTTCAAGTCAAGCTACGCGACGCAAGATCTTCTCTATTTAGCTGCAAGGCCGGAGTGCCCCAGGGCTCCGTACTTGGTCCACGCATGTACTCTACAACATATTTACTTGTGACTTACCCCAATCACCTGAAACAGCTGTAGCGACCTTTGCCGATGATACGGCCTTCCTTAGTTGTAACCGTGACCCAAATGAATCGAGCAGATCATTGCAATCCCAGCTCAATACCACCAATGCTTGGCTGACCAAGTGGCGCATAAAAGCAAGTGCACCAAAGTCTCATCATATCACATTTACTCTTAGACGTGGAACATGCCCACCCATCAACTTAGAACCGGACACATTACCGCAATCAACCTGCGTTAAGTACCTTGGTTTTCACCTGGATTGTAGAATGACATGGAAAGATCATATAAAAACGAAGCGCAATGAAATGAATCTAAGACTTAAAAACCTACTCAGGCTCCTCGGTAGACAGTCTGCTTTATCCCTATCCAACAAGTTAAGGATATATTCCTCAATAATAAAACCAATCTGGACATATGGAATCCAGCTGTGGTCGACAGCCAGCAAATCCAACATTATGTGCATTCAGAGAGCTCAAAACAATATCTTGAGGATGATTTCATCGGCGCCCTGGTATGCTCGTAATTCGGTGAGATCGCAATGAAATTCCAGAAGTCTTGGACGAAGTAAAACGATACTCAGCCAACTACAAGGACCGTTTGACTTCTCATCCAAACCCATTATCCAGTATGCTCCTGCAGCCAAACCCAATTAGAAGACTTACTAAGGGGAGATGGAGCAATGGCTCCACCTCGCCAAACTCCAACCTCTTACAACTTACCTGATTATAGTTTAGATGACTGCTTGCAGGTTGAATAGGGAAAAAAAAGAAATATCCTGGAGTACGAAGGTTCAATTCCTCGCGGCGGCGAACAATTTTTGATTCAGGTTTCTACTAATTTTTGAATAGTTAAAGAAAATAATATATAAATATTCATGTTTTTTTATTACATATGGTTGTTAATTTAGTTAATACAATGCAAAAAATGTATATTTAGGATTTATTTAGATTCATTAGATAATCTGCTTAAGAGCCAAGGCTGAATGAATTTAAAATATGCATTCATATAGAGGCAGAGAGATAAAACCAAATTTATTAACAATTATAATTTTAATACAGTTATTAACATATCCATGTTATTCAAAATTTATGTGAATTTTCTCAATTTACCAGCTACTTATAAGAAGTTAGAAATGCAACATCTGAGTTCATAAAACAAGCCTTTGCACATAATTTATGTGCACAGCATATATATACAAAATAATGGATTGCTTAAATATTTCGAATTATTTAATGTTTAAAAGAATTCAATTTATCATAAACTCCATTAATTAATTTGCCAGCTCATTTGCCACTCTCTCAAAAAAAAATTATTAAATACCTTAAAACCATATTTTGCCATTATTTTAGCTGCAACTGAACTTGCGCCATAACCACCAATAGAGAAACCAACTGAAGGTGCAGCAACTTGTGTTGTTACAGGTGCTGGTGGTGGAGATGTAGTCTCAACAGTCAATGATGGTGGAGGGGCAATAGCAACACCAGCTGCTCTCTTAGATATTTCCTCAGCCTCTTCTTCTTCCGGTTGCTACAACCATTTTGATAACAATGAAAAAGTTATTCATTATTTGCCATTTTTTTTAATATCAGTATATAATATATAAAATAGAGGCTAAAAACTGGAAATATTTTTATATTTACTAAAAAAGTTATTGTCAAATTAATAGATAACTAGCACATTACATTTACATGTTTAATTTTTTTTCTTGTGTTTATGTGATATAATGTATGGAGTTCTTGCTAACTAGTTTCAATTATTAGCTATCTTTAATAATTTTGCAAGACAGCTATCTCTTTGCAGTGTTAGAAACTATTTAAGTATGGTATTTACCATAGGAATAAGGGTTTTTTCAGGAATAGTGTCTTCATCATCACCAAATCGTGATTTACGTTTTCTATCTGATCTGTCGCTTCTATCACCTCCATCCAGTTGTAATCTTTTTGCTTGAAGTTCTGAAAAATTAAGACAAAAATAAAATTTAAACTGAATATTTGTACATAAAAATTCTGAAGACTGAATATCATGAAGTGAAAATTTTAGTTTCTTTTATGCGCAATTAATATAAGAAATTATGCAGTATTACTGAATGAAACTATATTAACAGTTTTATCGCACTTATTTTTAATTTTATTTCCAGATGTTTCAAACAGCCTTTAATGTTCATGGGAACTGGACAGATTGAGTTTCATTTAGTGTAAAAGCCTAAATACAAGAAATTATCAAATATGCAGTATCCCAGAATTAAACTATATTAATGGATTTATCGCACTTATTTTTAATTTTATTTCCAGATGTTTCAAACAGCCTTCAATGTTCATGGAAACTGGATAGACTGAGTTTCATTTAGTGTAAAAGCCTAAATACAAGAAATTATCAAATATGCAGTATCCCTGTAAGTTTTATTTTTTATAATAATAAACTTTAAAATATAAAGTAGAATGGACATATCTTTTTTTACCCACAAATATTTTTAAACACTAAAGAAACTTAGCAAAATTAGAAATACTTCTAAAAACAACAGTCACACCTAATTTTCACAGAAAAAAAATATTAAAACTTGTTACACTGAGAAAAATCCCATCTAATACTTACATTGGGTATAACGGTAAAATTTCAGCAACCCACTACTTTTATATAGCAAACAAAAGAAAAATTTAAACGATAGAGAACTATAGAGACATATCACTTATGAATTAATCTACTAGTAGAATTCGGTAGTCACCTCTAGTTTTCGAGAAAAAACATAATTAAATCTTGTTGTTTTTACTAAGAAAATCCACCATTTTACCATTGTCAACATTTTCACATTTAAAAACCTTCCGTAAAACACTGTCTTGTCCACACTTAAAACATTTTTGCCCAGAAACCTCAAAATTTAAATGTCCATGACAAATTTTATTTTATTTTGTAGTTTGTTGTGGTTATGTTTCACTATCAATTAAAAATATTTATATAGGAAAAATCTGGTGGGGAAAACTAATGCTCCAAGTGTAACTAAAAAGTTTTATTTACTTTTTATGTGAAAAGTAGGCATAACTGGTGATTTTCACCTCATAATTCAAGTTTCAGTTACATTTCTTTATCATTTAAAAATATTTTTCAGTGAAAAAGGATGTCTCTATACCAAAAAGAAGTTATCTATAAGGCTTTAACTTTTATTAACTCCAAGTTGCTCACATCAAGTGGATTAGGTCTCCATTTTAAAAACAATACAAGAAGGATGCTTATAAATTATTTATATTTTAATTATTAAATCTGGAAAAAGAGAAGAATCATACCTTTAGCAACTTTTTCATAGTCATTTGGCCACATTGGATCATATTCATTTGCCACATTCCAATCAAAATCAGAAACATTCAGTGATGGGGTAAAAGCTTTAGCAGGTACATTTGGACTATTTGGATTTTCATCTTCGTCCTTCGGTTTGCTTTTCAAGTCTATTACTGGCGTTAACACCTGTTTCATTTAAATTACTCTTAAAGGATTATATTTCAATAGTAAAAAAACACAAACAATAATAAAAACCTGTGTAGAACGCCGTAAGGCTTCTCTTTTAGGTTGAGTAACAGCTGCTTTTTTTAACTGGAGTTGTGATTGTAATAATTTAATACCAGACGACCACCCTGCTACTTTATCAGTAGTTCTTGTCTTTAAGGTATCTAAATCGTCGTATAAAGACATATTTATGTAGGTAAACACACTCTTTTTTATTCTTAAGAACAAAACATAATTGCATCAAAATTAATTTCAAATTATCTTACAATATAAACGATATAAACTTAGTTTGGTAAGTCTATTCAAATGATAATTAAAAAGGATAGAATGTAGACCGCAAACTTTTAGTTTTCAACTTTTCATTCACTAAATGACTATGACTTTTGACACTTTTGACAGTTTATTTGACATTGACAACAAACCTTCGTTTTTAAAAATTTTCAGTTTTGCCCACAGTACACGGCATGAGCTAATACAGCCGGTCCTAGTAAATATTTGTTAAATACTCGAACAAAATCTTTCAACTCCCACACTTCCAAATTTGTGGATTAGTATGTGCAAAGTTGGCGGATACAATGGGTATACTGTATACTTAGTCGAAGCAGTAGCATATTATTTATTTTCTTTAGGCGCACCAAATAGCAAGCTGGAGGCTATCAGGGTGCCTCCGAACGTGAATTAAAATCCCGAAGTTTTTTAGATAACCCACTCTAAAAAAAATGAGCCGTCACTGCACCGCCTGGCAGATGTGAAACATCGACATTATTTTGTAAAAGTAATATGCAGAAAAGAACCGATTGTGATAGGAACTAAATATTTGTTATAATGATAAAATAAAATATAACGATTTTTTTCCAGATAACGATGACTATTTATTGAAAAAACATTTATTTTCATTAAATACAAAAATTTTACGAATTTATTTCAAATCGTGACTAGTTAATTCGTTTAATCAGTGACTTCGGTAATAGTACACACAATTAATTAAAGTTAATTTAATTAATAAATAGAGCGCCCTAAGAGCTTGGGCTTCCAAACCGGTACCTACCTAATGATAATAATAGCGTGACGGCCCGAGCCAAGGGTAGGCCCCTAAGGCCAACAGTGGTTCATCCTGCCAAAAAAAGGGACTTATTGTCAGGTCTTATTTTATGTGTGAAATACTACTTTCACTTTTAGTCCATTAGAAAAACCACATAAATGATGATTATCGCATGTTTTTATTATTCAAACGAATTCTGCATAAAATTTAATTAATCATGGCCATATATGTCACGTTCTCAGAAAACGATATCGGTCGACATTTTTTATTTTTACGTAGACTAATTAAATTGGGATAGTATATTTTAATACATGGAACACAAAATTTAAACAGTTTTTATAAAATGGGAACCGTAATAAGTAGGGACACAAGAAGGATAAGCTTTGAAAATTCTTTAGCTTTAAATCCAGCAGTATTAGTTGAAAAATCTATAGAAGATCAAAATACTCTTATGTTGAATGACATAGAAAGTGTAAGTTTTTATTCGCATTTATTGCCGTTTTGAATAAAAATGGTTGTAATTTTTAAAATCAAATAAAAACATTATTTGATTTTAAAACTTTAAGCTTTGCATGTATTTATTTCATCTGACAAGTAGTCTTATTCGACGTACGTAAAAAAATGTAGTGGGTTAGTGGTAGCAATTAAATTAAGAGCGTTTACGACACCTATGCGCTTTTTGACTCAAAACCTGCATTTTCAAAGCAGCATATTTTTTACCATTTATTTTTTCAACATTATAATTACTGTTTATTATAGAAAATTTGATTTACTAAATATTTAGCAGAGAAAATGGCAAATGTAAATAACTTTAACTCTTCCGTAATTCAATTAAAATAAATTTTAAACAATAGAGAAAAATCTCTAATGAATTAATCAACAAGCAGAATTAGGCGGTCGCTTATAGTTTTCGAGAAAAAAATATTTAAAACTTGTTATTTTTACTAAGAAATCCACCATTTTATTTATTTCACTTACAAAAACTCAATACACAGTTCTGCCAACATGATAAATATAGGAACGGAATCTCCGTTCAATCTCTCTTTATTAATGTTAAAGTGGATGTAAAGTTAAAGGGTTTTAGCCAAATAAATGTTTTATTAAGAGATATCAGTTTTCATCACAGATATTCAAGTTATTTTTTAGAGTTGCAAATAAAATTATATCTCTTGATTTTTAGATAATTAGATTGCTTAGTTATTCAGCTTATTAACTGTGATTCGTTTTTTGGGATAGTATTTGTAGTTTGCGAATGTCAAGCGTTTTTATCGCCAAAGTCGGTAGTGGTGTATTGACATTTTATTTCTCGCGTTGACGCTGGCGCCTGACACCAATTTGACAACGCGTGGCGTTGGCGTGTCAGTTGTTATGAGCGTCTTTCCGTTGTATTACTTTACTGTGTATAACCGTATTACCGTGACTCATGAAGCTTTCTAGATATGTCGCTCGGAGCTCTGCATGATCCTTTACAGTACATAGGTGTGTAAAGTGTGAGACAAATCTTGAGCTTGATTTCACATTGTTGCTTGCCCGTATGGGGGCCTTTAAAATAAAATTTACCTTGGCACTAAATTACCGATCCAATTTTTTCTTTTCATATAGTTTAGTATCACTTACTGAGTATAAAACACAAAAGTGTGTACTTTAGCGGAAAAAATTCGGAGACCATTATCGTAGAGAATAAAATTTCCCGTTTTTTGGTTTCCCATAAACTTTTCGGATTATCTTACCGCTTACGATTTGTGACTAATTTAATGAATACGATTTTCAATTTCAAAAAATAAAATAAATTTTAAAGATCAAAACTTTTATCCAAATAAAACATTTTTTCTCATGTTCATTATTTTGTTTCTCCTAATGAAAGATCAAACTATATCAATATAAAATCAAATAAATAAATAGATAGTATAGTTAATCCGGATATAGATGATGACACGTAAATCGTATAATTCCTTACTTTTTATATTTGTGGCGCATAGTCCGGTTATTTTATGACTCCGTTCTCGTCCATTACTAGAATTAATGAAAACTTTAATTTTAAAGATTTATGTTGTTAATATATATAAGAGTTCTAACGTTTTTACTTTCATTCTAATATTTTAACTATTACTGAACTTGAATATTAACAACTATTATAACGACAAGCAGCACTAGTGGCTATATCACCGTCCGAGAACGCAGCCGAAATCCAAGTGACCACTCCTCCATGCGACCATGTGTTCCTTGGCTCAAGTAGATAACGTCATATCCGGTAAACAGTGTTGCCAGCGCCAACATTCGGCCGTCCTGCATCACGCCTTCGTCCTCGAAGAGCGTTGTAGTCTGGTATAAGTAACCTTCATAAAATTAACACCTTACCCTGTGACTTATCTCCCTCAACTAGGATGAATATCGCCACGTTCAGAACACCTTACACTGTGGCTTATCCCTCAACTGGGATGCATATCGCCACTTTCAAAACACTTATCCTGTGGCTTATCTCTCACAACTGGGATGTATATCGCCACGTTCAAAACACTTATCCTGTGGCTTATTCCTCACAACTGGGATGCATATCGCCACGTTCAAAACACTTACGCTGTGGCTTATCCCTCAACTGGGATGCATATCGCCACGTTCAAGCCTTAAATTTTTCAACAACTAAATGCTCGGTAGCTTAACCGGGTAAACCAGTAGTGTATCGCTATTTTACATTTTCTCAAATATGATAAGTAATTAATTAACTGGAAGGTACTCACCAAAACTTTCGTTACATTTAACCAAAAGATTTCTCACCATTACGTATAGTAAGTATAAAACACACTATTTTATTTTACGAGGGTAGGTACAAAAGGAGAAAATATGTCGCCGATTGTTTGAACAGCCAAATGCGAGTTTTCGTATTGAATCCCACTTCTGATATAAGAGTTCTAACGTTTTTACTTTCATTCTAATATTTTAACTATTACTGAACTTGAATATTAACAACTATTATAACGACAAGCAGCACTAGTGGCTATATATATATATTTTTTAAATATTGTGGAATAGCGCGTGGTCAACTGTTATAATATTTAATGACAGAATATACAGTATAATGGTAAAAATATAGTTATAATGGAAATATCTTAAAAAGCACCCACCCTTTTTGTGAAATAAAATTGTTTTTTTGTTAATCAACACTATTTATAATTTAAATTAATTGAAAATAATTTTCTACTTTTTATTTCGGTTATCTACAAAAGCGTGTTTTTTCGTTTTATTTAAACTATTATTTATATTCTATTCATTAATTCTGCCAAAGCGTGTTTTTTCTTTAATTTTTAAACATTTTTTTAAATGCATGATTAGCACAAGGACACTACCGGATTTGGAAAATAACCAATCCTGAAAGTCCTGATCAGGATAAAGGGACTTGTATGTTGTATTAACTGATGTTTTTGCTTTCAGTCCCGAGACTATTAAAGCTTCATCTGACGCAGAACCGGTGGGCTAGCCAGAACCCACAGGTATGGGCCCTCCGCTGTGGGTAGGGCCGCGCATGTGCTCATGCGTGCGTTTAACTACGACATGTCATCTAAGGGCCATCGAAGTTGCGGTGCAGACCGAGACCCCGATGGCCGTCGACTGTGTTTTTAGCTAATCGGTGGCTGGGGGCGGTGAGAACCGCCCTGGAACGCGGGTGTACCTTGTGTACGCGTTGTGTTGATCTCGCCGTGCTCGGAGGCGAGGGCGAACTATTGTGTTTGTTGTTACACTAGCTGTGGGTGTAGTGTTATCCGGCGGGACCCCCAGCGGTGGGTCCGGCGTATCTAAGTCCCCTTCCTCGACCGGGTCGATTAGGACGTTTCGCGGGCGACGCTTGTTGACGTTCGCGTTTGTGTCGGGTTGGTAATTTGCTGCGCTTACCAGAGGGTTGGGATGATGTTCGGCTCTATCGAAGAACCGTTTGGTCAGATCTTTAAAATATTCGCGAATCGTCGGGTGAATCCAATCGCTGTGCAGATCGACGTTGGCTTGTATAAGCGAGTAGGGTGCGTGTGGGCGAAGGTCATGCATGCGTAGGACATAATAGGTCGTACGCAGGTCTTATATAATAATAATTTGTGCCTTAAGGGCATTTTACTTTTAGCGTTAGTTAAATTGTGTAACCGGCCGGAGACGAACGCGGCTCTATTGCGAACGTTATTAATTTGCGTAGTAAATGACATACGCGAGTCGAAAGTGACTCCTAAGTATTTGACCTAGGATAATGGGAAAAACTATTTAAATGATTGCATTATCATGGGTATTTGACGAATGAAAAATTATTTTCAGCTATCATAATTACTTTATAGGCAAAGACAAAATATTTTCTCCTCTTTTCGTGACCCTATTTTCTTATTATGTATGCGTTAGCGATCTATAGCATTGATTTTTAATTTTCCATAATGATTATGGTAATTGTCCACTGCTTGAAATTATGGTACAAATGCAGCACTAGCATATATCAATATTATGAGTAGAGTCTGTTATACGTTTAAAAAACTGTAAATTTTACGCTTACAGGAATCTGATGAACTAACTTTTGAAGAAAAAGTTCCATGTAAAGAACTGCAGGATGATGAACTTAAATATTGGTCAGGTAGAATAGAAAGTCTCAAAAACGAACACCAAATAATCGCAAAAATTATTGAGGAAGAATATGAAAAAACCATCGACAATACAATTAAATTAAATGAACAACGAAAAATAACTCAGGACCATATTAAAAAAATTAAACCATGTTATGCTTGGCGAGCTAAGGTACTTAATGCTACTTTTATTTTATTATTTTATAAACTTATAATGCTTATAAAATGTTAAAATAAAATTATATATTTACGTTATCTAATGATACGAGTATATTTAGATAGCATGGTAATGGTAACATAAATGGTAAAAGTTTAGATAGATAGATAGATAGATAGTTTTTATTTGTAAAAACATGGTATACATACATTGCATGCAAGATATTAAATATACATTGTCCTATCATGTCCAGGCCGTATCACGGCATACAAATTGGTTACAAGAGATGGTGAATTGACCGCAATATTGTTTATTATAAACTTTATACTATTGCCAAATATAATCACATGTCATTATTCAGTCATAATAAAATTAATTAATAAAATTTTTACAATAAATAATGTCAATGTTAAAATAAAAAAACAATTTACAATTTTAAGTACATAATATTATGCAAATTAAATTATATTAAAATAAGAAGTAATTTTGAATATTATAAAAAATTGTCTTCCTTCAAAAATTCTAAGATATTGTAGTATGCTCGATTAATTAAAAAATTCTTTAATTGTCTTTTAAGATCAAGAGTACTTAATTCTTTCCACGATTTGGGCAATTTGTTAAATATTATCGGTGCCATGCAAAAGATGCTCTTACGCATAAGAGCAGTTCTAGCGCCATGAAGGCAGAGCCTGAACTGATCACGTCTATTCCTAGGTGCTACATCAGATAAACTTGAAAATAAATTGGAATTTGACCTAATAAACATAACTGTTTCTATGATGTATAATGCGGGCAAAGTCAATATTTTAAATTCTTTAAAATGTGATCTGCAACTATCTGTTGTTTTAACTGCCTAGCATTGATCGAATGCATCTCTTCTGCGCCCGAAAGGCCATTTCAATGTTTGTGCTGTTGCCCCAAAAGATAACTCCATATCTTAGTGTTGACTCTGCTAAACCATAGGCTGTGATTAGCGCATCTCTGTTAAGAACCACTGCAAGTTGTTTTAGTGCGTACGCTACACTACGTAATTTTTTGCAAACTGTCTCTATTTGAGTTTTCCAATTTAACTTATTGTCTATTACTAAACCTAGAAATAATAGTTTAGAAAAAAATAAAGTTTAGAATAGAGATACATCCTTTTTAAACGATAAAGAAACGTAACGGAAATTATAATCGCTCAAGTTAATATCGCCGGTCAGGCCGATTTTTCTTAGAATAAAGTATCTACTTATTATAAACTTGTGAGTTGCACTAAGAAAATCCGCTATTACCTTGCTTACAGTTGTTTTATGCAAATAATGTTACTTTGTTGCAGAATATAGTGATACAAGAAACTTTAAACATTTGTAAATTAGGCACATCTTAAAGTTTATCATTTATTTTATTATTCTTTATAATAAAATAAATGTTTATTTTATTATTGTTTAAAAATATTTGTAAGTGATAATAGCATGTCCTTAACATTAGATATACTTTAGAATCTTTAAATAGACCTTTACGATAAAAATAAACCCAAGCTATGCCTTGAATAAATATTGAGCTGTCTATGATAATTTTAAGGTTTTTAGGGGGTTGTGGCTTTACAAGTTAGTAAAAACCATTAAAGTTTTCTGGTTAACTTTCATAAATATAAATAAGAAATCATCAAAAATTACATATCATTTGTTTTCTTTATATATTCAGATGTTGCAATGCTACGAAAACAATCCTCATCAGTCTCTCGTGTGTTCGCCAGTGGTGCAAGAGTTTAATGAATACGTAGAGTCTTGTAGAGTTGCTGAATAAGCTACTGCGATTTGATAATCATATTATGGACACAAGCTGGACATAATTATGGTGATTTCAATACATTAAATATAATAAAAGTGGTATTCGTACCGTAGTATTATTTAATTATATCCTTACTAATATTATAAAGGCGAAAGATTGTAGCTAGCTTATACATCAGAATAACAAAGTAGGAAAAAATTCAGCCATCTGGGAGATATTCTGGTGTATAATAAAAACTCATTGTTAATTCCTTTAGACCGCGCGTGTGAAGCCGCGGATATCAGCTAGTTACTTCATATTGTAAAGCAAAATCGCTTATTTCTTAGTACACTTTTTAAATATTGTTATTATATATAATGGCTTATGTCAATAAGGGGGAAATCTTCACTGAAAAAAAATATTTGTACCTAAGTTCTATCTCAATCAACTCGGGCACAACCTAACTTAAGCCTGTTAAATTCCACTGCTGAACATAAGCCTCCCCCATAGACTGCCACCTGAGCCATTTAAACATAATATTTCATAAATCATCTGCGGGACTTTTGCCAACTTTCTCAGCTTGCCTACCTTTTGAAGAGTAAGTACATCATTCCGCTTCGTGCTCTCGTACGGAACGGACGTCTCTCTAAAACGGACGGCACATGTCACCCGAATTAGACGCCACTCGCAACCTCGGTTGCAATTTCAATCTTGTGCAAATAGTGCAGTAGTTTAGTGTTAGTGTAGTGTTGTGCTCGTAGGCAGGTTCCTGTTTGTAAGTAGAATCCTACACACACTACTCGCCTCAGAGGCGGCATTGTTTCATTTATTAACTGTGTGCTTGTTGCAATAGGCGACAGCTAGGTACCCATCCTAGCGCACCTAAAGCGCAGGCAAATTTGTTGTTATTTCTAGGCACACTCCTCCCTGCCGCAAGGTGGGGAGGCTTATTTAGCTCATACACGCCGGCGGGGCTACAAGCCCCAAAGGCACTTACGTCGCGATGGGCTCCCTTTTCGAGGAGTTCGTACGCAAAGAATGCCCCGCTATGTGGGAACGTTTTCTCGCTTATGAAGCCGAGCATAGGCAATTAGCTGAACTCGCGTCGCCGCCATTGCCCGCACCGTCTGCGCCCGTTACCCCGTCGCCCTCCGCGACCCTAGAAGCTCCCGTCGCGTCGGCATCCGCTAACGAGAACTCGCCCGTAGCGCCTTCCGCGCAACCAAACCCGACCTCTTTTCGCTCCGTCGTACCCGACTCACAATCGGACGGCGGATCAGACATGGAGGTCGAAATGACCCCCGCTAAAAACGCGAACGCCGACGGCTTCACCGTCGTTAAATCGCGTAAAAAGGGCAAAAAAAACGCCCCGCTGCCGACAGCGACCCCGAATGCGAGGCCGCCTCAACGATCCGTCCCACCGCGACGCCCGCTAAAAAGGCGTCCGCGGCGGCTAAACCGATGCCCGAATTCGCCTCCGAGCGAAAAATAAAGCCTCCTCCACCCATCATCATTCAGGAGAAGGCTAAGTGGCACCGAATTTGTTCGTGGTTTGAACGCCACAACCCCCGGTCGAAAAACACGCATATGGGTATCCGCGTATACCTTGACACTACGGACGACTTCCGTCGCGTAAATAAGTACTTGCGCGAAAACAAGATAGGTTTCCACACCTCTTTGCCCGAAGAAAGAAAACCTCGGGGTAGTAATCAAGGGAGTCAAACGTCCCCAAAGAGTCGGATGTCGACAAGGCGAAGACCGACATCCGCACTCAGGGATACCCTGTGCATAACGTACGCCGCCTCAGGCACCCTAGAACCCGTGTCCCTATGGACATGGTGATGGTTGAACTTGACCCTACCCCGGAAGGTAAGGCCATCTTCAACCTGAAGAGGGTCTGTGGGCTCAGCGACCTCGTGATCGAGCCCCCGCGAAGATCGGGAGTTGTGGCGCAGTGCCACAACTGCCAACACTATGGCCACACGGCTAATAATTGTTTCGCTCACCCTAGGTGCGTCAAATGCACCGGTGACCACGGCACGCCCGATTGTACGCGGCCAAAAGATTGCGCAGATCCCCCGGACTGCGTTAACTGTCATACCGCCGGCCACCCGGCTAGCTACAGGGGCTGCGCTAAGGCCCCAAAAACTCCCACGAGAAAAGCTCCCGCGAAATCTACTTTGCCCAAACCCGCGCCCGTGAAATACGTTCCAGCGCCCGTACCCGTCGTAAACGCCTGGGCGAAACCGCAGGTGGCCGCGCAGGTAGTTGCGCCCCCGGTCGCCTCAAGACCAATCACTCTATCGCAGCCCGCCTATCAAACGGCGCCGACGCCGCAGGTGCAGTCGACACCGTCGGTTTTCGCCGAAAACAAGGACGACCCGTTCGCCCAAATTGCCAACATCTGCGCCTTATTAGACCGCATTAATAGACAAGAACTCGCCGTATTGTCCGCTAAAATAGCGGCCGCCACATCTGGCAACGCGCGATTTAAAGCCATTAGCGAACATAAAATGGTTGTAGAAGCCCTCTGGGTATTTACAAGCCAACCATAAACTTAATAGTCCGCGCAATAAAACCGCGCTCCGCCGCGTCGTTAGTTAGAACTCATGAAAAACTTTAATGGGAAGTACAACCGCAGGTAGAACAAAACCTCGGGCTCTGGTTGTTTCGTATTTCAACGCAAACGGCATAAAGGGTCAAAGGGACGAAATCGCGGAATTCCTTCGCGATTATAACATAGATATTTTTCTAGTGCAAGAGACATTCTTAAAACCTAGTGTACGCGATCCCAGAATCGCAAACTACAACATAGTCCGCCACGACAGGTTAGCAAACCGTCTGGGAGGCACCTTAATTTATTACAAACGGTCCTTGCACTGTAGCCCGCTCGACATTCCAGAGCTAAGCCATATAGAGGCATCCGCGTGTAGGTTAGTGCTCACCGGCCATAGGCCGCTTGTACTAGTCTCAGCCTACCTCTCGGGGAACAAAACCTTATTACAAAGCGACCTAGATACGCTACTTAACTTAGGCCCTTCCGTGATAATTGCAGGAGATCTAAACTGCAAACACGGCTCATGGGACATCCACAGCATCCCAAATAACAACGGAAAGCATCTCTTTAGCTTATCCGATAATTTAAACTTTAGCATAATTGCTCCTGCGACTCCCACTAGGTATCCTACGGTGGACAACTACCAACACGCGACACCGAGTATCCTAGATATGATGTTACTCAAGGAGGTCTCGCTCGACATCGAGTCGATAGAGACAATCCATAAACTAGACTCAGATCACAGGTCCGTCCTGTGTAAACTGGGCCAGAACGCCGGCGAGGTCCCTCCGACCAAATCCGTAGTGGACTGGCATCGTCTTGAGGTCAAACTCAAGGCCTTGGACCCCCAGGAATTAGTCGACGTACCCGAGACGATAGCTACGTTCGATGACGCAAATCGAGCGATAGCAAGTCTCCGAGAAACCATCACTTCCACAGTCGCAGACTCGGAACGGACGGTTAAACTGTCGGGCGATCGACGGTTTAACTTTCCGCCCGACCTGCGACTCCTAATTAGGCAGAAAAACGCAGCCAAACGCGCTTTCGACCGATACCGATCGGAATCGAACCGAACCCTACTTCGACGCCTTCAGCTAGAAGTCAAAGATCGATCGTCGGAACACCGACATACAACGTGGGACACTCTCCTAGAGGACATCGAGCCATCGCACACCGCCTACTGGCGGTTGGTCCGCAGTCTGAAAGCAGACCCCCGCGAATCTCTACCGCCGTTAGTTAGACCTAATAGCGCTTAAGTAGCCCTAAATGACTCCGAAAAAGCCGAATGCCTTGCGGACAACCTAGAGCAGCAATGTACGCCATCGCGCGAACACATCGATACAGCCCACCTAACGGAGGTGGACCGCGTAATCGAGATTAGGGCTGCGCTTCCACCGGAAGGCTATCCTTTGAATTCAGTGACCCCCGAAGAGGTTCAAGATATTATTAAAAACTTAAAACCCAAATCCGCCCTGGGCCCAAATAATATTAGTAACAAAATTCTTAAATCTCTCCCTGGGCCGCTTATCTGTTTACTGGCGACTGGAAAGAGACCAGGGTTATCGGCATTCGCAAGCCTAATAAACCAGCCAAACAGCCCTCTAGTTATCGTCCCATCAGCCTCCTCAGTTGCCTGGGGAAGCTCTACGAGCGGCTTTTATTAAACAGGCTCAATGAGCACGTGTTTTCCAACGGCCTTCTGCCGGCGGAACAATTCGGCTTTCGAGCTAGACATTCCTGTCCCGATCAACTATTCCGCCTAACGGAACATATCCTAAAAGGCCTAAATCACCCTAAACATATTAGTACAGGGGCTCTTTTCTTCGATGTCGCAAAAGCATTCGACAAGGTCTGGCACAACGGCTTGCTTTACAAGCTGTACACACTCAAAGTGCCAGATAGGCTCGTACACACCATTCAGGCCTTCCTGTCGAATCGCTCTTTTCGATATCGAGTTGAAAGCACCCTCTCCACAAGCCACCGCCTCACGGCCGGCGTATCACAATGCTCCTGCCTCTCACCTTTGCTCTTTACGCTCTACACGAGCGATATACCTAAAGACCCCCACGTCAATCTCGCGCTTTTCGCGGATGACACGGCGCTCTTTTATTCAGATCGCAACCTTAGACAACTAACCGCTCGACTCCAAAGCGCTGCCGACCGCCTCGGCGATTGGTTCCGCAAATGGAGAATAGAAATAAATCCCGAAAAGAGTGTGGCGATTCACTTCACACGAAGTACTTACCCGTCACATCTTTATAATGGCCCTCGTCAATGCAGAAAGTTGGGGCAAATGTCCCTTTATGGCCAACCGCTCCCCTGGGAGAAAAAGGTCAAATACTTAGGAGTCACTTTCGACTCGCGTATGTCATTTACTACGCACATTAATAACGTTCGTAATAGAGCCGCGTTCGTCTCCGGCCGGCTACACAATTTAACTAACGCTAAAAGTAAAATGCCCTTAAGGCACAAATTATTATTATATAAGACCTGCGTACGATCTATTATGTCTTACGCATGCATGACCTTCGCCCACACGCACCCTACTCGCTTGTACAAGTTGCAAATAGTACAAAATAAGTTCATCCGCCGCGCAATCGGTGCGCAGTGGTATCAACGCAACGTCGACCTGCACAGCGATTGCAGACTCCCGACGATTCGCGAATATTTTAAAGACCTGACCAAACGGTTCTTCGATAGAGCCGAACATCATCCCAACCCTCTGGTGGTAAGCGCAGCAAATTACCAATCCGACCAAAACGCGAACGTCAACAAGCGTCGCCCGCGAAACGTCCTAATCGACCCGGTCGAGGAAGGGGACTTAGACACGCCGGACCCACTGCCGGGGGTCCCGCCGGACAACATTACACCCACAGTTAGTGCAACAACAAACACACTAGTTCGCCCTCGCCTCCGAGCACAGCGAGACCAACACAACGCGTACACAAGGTACACCCGCGTTCCGGGGCGGTTCTCACCGCCCCCAGCCACCGATTAGCTAATTGCACAGTCGACGGCCATCGGGGTTTCGGTCCGAACCACGACCTCGATGGCCCTTAGATAACGTACCATAGTTAAACGCACGCATGAGCACATGCGTGGCCCTACCCACAGCGGAGGGCCCAAACCCGTGGGTTCTGGCTAGCCCACCGGTTCTGCGTCACATGAAGCTTTAATAGTCTCGGGACTGAAAGCAAAAACATCAGTTAATACAAGAGTTAGTACAATCATTCCCATTTAGGATAATTTTTCATATATTCATAATAGTAGTTACCATGTGGCGACATGGTAACTACTTTAATTTTTAAACAACGTAACAAACTTCTCACTTCGCCAACTATTGGACATTCACAAACAAAAGTGAAATAAAAATTATATGAATGTGAATTACGGATTATTATTTTTGCGCAATAAAGAAATGTTTAATAACTGAGGTATGGCCATGCAACAGTATTCACTGTTGCACGAATGGGCAGGTCCGTCCGGGTAAGTACCGAGATCTCACAGAAGACTGTCGTGAAGTGAAAGTATTATATTTCTGCGTTTCATCTGGTTAGTGAAGTACCCGTGGCCCACTTAATTAAAAGGTGAGTCGCTAGCTCACCATCTTCTCCATCTTCTTCCATAAAAAATATAGACGTACACTAAACTAAATAAACATTTTATTCTCCTAAGAAATATTGTTGTGATTGTTGTTATTCTTTCATTTGCAACCATGGATTGAATATTTTTTTAATATGCGTTTTTCCGGATCCTTGAACGCAATCGCTATGTTCAATTGAAAATACCAGCTTTCTGGTCGATTTAGGTACTTGAATCCATATCACGAAATGTAATTGATCATTTCCATATTCATCCACTGTTTTATAAAAAAATTAACAAATTTGTCCCAATTTGCTGATCTTCCTACTTGAATTTCATAATTTATAGTTAGAAATCCTTCACTGATGTACGTTACACCATCGTATAGTACTTTTTTATGCTAGTGTATTAAAAATACTTAACTATTTTGCTTCTTTTTTTCTTGCTGTTGTTTTGGTATTTCTTCTAGATAATTTTCGTAAAAGGCATTAATCGCAGCCAGTAAATGCAATTTTAATAAGCGACATAAGCAATGTGTGTCCATAACCGGTCACCCAACGGCTTTAATTTGTTTTAGCCTTTTTTTAAAACGCAGGTAGCACTCATTGGTTTGTCAATACAAATGATAGCCATCCAGTAAGAAAAGATTAATTATAATCTTTTCAAGCTTCAATCTTAATTATAAGCCAACAATCAAAGTCTTTCCGATCGGCTTGACCCTCTGGCTCTGCGTAGAGATGTTGGATCGCTCTGCATCTTCTACTGCATTTATCACGGGGAGTATTCTGAGGAATTGTTTGGATTGATCCCGGCGGCTGAATTCCACTATCGGACATCGCGCCAGAACCAAAAATTTCATCCTCACCACCTCGATGTCCAACGTTCCACAACAGCGCGATTTTTAAGGCATTTCTTGCCTCGCACAACCACTCTGTGGAACCAACTGCCGCCGGCGGTCTTTCCGAACCGTTACGCCCTGGGAACCTTCAAAAAGAGAGCGTACTCTTTCTTAAAAGGCCGGCAACGCATTTGTGAGCCCTCGGGTGTTGCAGGTGTTCATGGGCGGCGGTAATCACTTACCATCAGGTGAGCCTCCTGTTCGTTTGCCCCTTTTCTCCATAAAAAAAAAATCACAAGTTACATAAAAAATACAGACTAGAATAAAACGATCAGATGCCTTAATTATGAAAAGAGATAATATCAAAGTGAAACTGCTTTTATTATCTATTGTGGAAAAAGTTGGTGATACATTCATTTGTTGGCAAAATGAAGTTTTTAACATGAAAAATTTAAAAAGTTGGCAAGCTGAGAAAGATGGTGGCGGCATGGTAAATACAAGTATGAAAACAATAAAAATTACCCAAAATGGGAATAATTGTACTAACTCTTTAAAAGGTAGCTTTAAAGCATCTTCATGCTAGTACCCAACAATTCGTTTAATTGTTTGGTATCTGTGCATTGTTAGCGATACGCCGTAACAATTTCTACCCAAGTACCAAAAATTTAAGTTTTATTTTTAGCTTTTGTAGAGTTTTTAGAGAGTTTTCCGTGAGAAAGAATTTTTCATAGACCATTGGGCACCTTCCTATGTGTTTTCGGAATCCAATTAAGTAGCTTCGTTCAAAAATCTCTTGACTTGTTTTGTAGCTGAAATTAAATCAAACTCTTCTAAGACGTCTTTTATTCAATAGTGTTAGATTTTATTCCATTACATTGTAAGGATATCGGCAGTTGTGGCATCTATCTAGGTGGATACTTAAATTAAATTGATAATGTATTGACAATTTTTACTGTACAACCAAGGACACAAATTTTAATATTTAAAAACAATAGTATGGATTACAGTAGAAAGACTATTAATTAAATGACTATTAATTAGCAAGTGCGTGTGTGGATGGGGGAGTGGATGCGTGCGTGTATACGTGCGTGCGTGCGTGCGTTCTTGCGTGCGTCGCTACATAATCACTGGAATTTCTATGATTTCTGTAATTTAGAAGCCTTATAAACTTATGCTAGATTATCTCCAAATTATTTATATATGTGTTATGTAGTGTGGGCTTCAGGTGAGGTTATAATATTCTGCCATGCTTCGTACGTGGGAAATGTAGAGTAACGTTATGCAGCTAAAATTAGAAAAAAGTCTAACAACACTTAAAATAAAACCTAGGTTTGTTGGTAGACCCTTTATGTGGTGGGTGAATGTTCATTTATTGTCCATTAAAAGTCCAAAATTATTAACAACAGTTTCTTTACGAAGATTAAAAAGTTTATTTGATAGTCAGTTTAAAGACAGCTAATGACTATACCGAAGACGTGGGTTCGATTCCCACAGTGGCGACAATCTTTTCGTACTTTTCCTACATGTTTTAATGTTCAATCTTAAGTGCAGAGATTAGCACTATGAAAAACTTTAAAATTTATAATAGAAATGTTATCATAATTGGCAAGAGTCGGAGAAATCATGTGTAGAAGTCTCTTTTTAGTACCTAAAATACATTTTACAAAAAATATTTAGAGTAAAACATAGCAAATCAGCACTTTTGGGAATCTAGTACAATGATGTTTAATGCTCTTCTGAGCGGTACTGATATTAACAAAAAATAAAAAAAATCAAGAAAGTTTCTGCATATTTTTTTTAATAAAAATATTCAATAGTCGAACATAATAAACGTAGTAATTACATTCTCTCTGGTCGAACAAATGGCAACACTGCTCGACATAACTGCCAAAATAGTTTTAAAATTATTTTGTCATCAATTATGTACGCATAGTAATATTTAAATAAATTGATGGAAATACGAAGAGAAGTATACTTTTTCGTCACTTATTTCACTGCCCTAAGAAATAACAATGAATTCAAACGATTCTAATGTGCATGATGATTGTTCTCTTCGTCACACAATTTTAGAAAAAATTAATGCTAATAATGAAGATAACAATATTAATAAGGTGACAATAATATTACAATACTGATGAAGTTTTATTTTAAATAACATACAGTGAATTTAAACTTAAATCTTATTTTACTAAATTCTCTGTACAGGCTCCTGATATAAATGATTTTACAATAGTTAAACCTATCAGTCGCGGTGCGTTTGGAAAAGTATTTCTTGCGCATAAGAAAAGTAATAAAGAACAAATGTTTGCAATAAAAGTGATGAAAAAATCCGACATGATAAACAAAAATATGGTTACACAAGTAGTTACAGAGAGAAATGCATTGGCTTTATCAAGAAGTCCATTTTGCGTTCACTTGTTTTATTCATTACAATCTGTGTCTTCAGTATACTTGGTAAGAATAATAAAAACTTTATAGTATATTACAATACACTTTCATATGAAATTATAAATCAGATTCATTCATAATATTCTTCTATAATATATTCTAACAATCTACAATTACATCTAAAAGGCCATATTGATATGAAATTACTTTGCAGTATACAGCGTGTCGTTACCATCGCGACAATAAATGAACAAACGGCTAACGCTACTTGCCAATAATCCTAAAAAAAAATCTATAATTAAAAGAAAATATTTTTCAAACAAACTAATTAAGTAAAAAAGAAACAAAATTTGTAATATCCTATGCAACTATAACTGACTGATTCATACATTCAGAGACTTTTTCATTTGTTGTCACAGCTTCGCATTACAAGGCTCTCCTTCTAACAGTATGTTTTGTCTCTTTTAAATTCATACAGCTTTGTAACTTTTACAAATGAACTTTACGTTACAGTTTTATACATAAGGGTGTTCTAAAATTGTTTGTTTTGGAAAATTTAATAACTCTGTAAATTTTGATGATTAAAGAACGTAAATTTTTGATACAATGTTAAAAAGTTATCTTTTATATTTGTGTTCCATTATTGTCGCGTTGGTAACGACACGCTGTATACTATTAGAAGTATCTGTCAGTACTTCTTCATAATTTAATTTAAATATATCCATTACATACTGAATGCCTGGTAGTTAAATTGGTTGTAGCCATACCACAAACATTAAATAGTGAAAAAAAAAAAATTCATGTAAGATGACTTTTCTCATCACTATGTAGTATCATTATTTTTTTTTTAAAAAGTCTTACTGCCTGTCTTAGTTAGATTCTCAGTAGAATGAGCCTGCCCAACTGAAAGTCTGTTGTATAGCAAATACATCTATCAATTCACTACCGTGTAAGTCGTCTTTATGAAAAACATTTGGTTTTTAGGTTATGGAGTACATGGTTGGTGGTGATTTGAAGTCACTCTTGGGGGTGTATGGGTTTTTGGAAGAATCAATGGCCGTTTTCTATGCTGCAGAAGTAACTCTTGCATTGGATTATCTGCACAAACACAATATTGTGCACAGAGATGTAAAACCTGATAACATGTTAATATCCAAGTCAGGACATGTCAAGCTCACAGACTTTGGTTTGTCCAAAATTGAAATACACAGGGGTACAATACACTCATCTTTTTATACACTTGTTATTCTAATGTTATTTTAATAATTTTTTTGTATGTGAGAAAGTCGCAAAAGAGCTGGTGGTTCACCCGTTGTTAAGTGATAACCGCTTGCCCATGGACATTTACAATACCCGTAGGGTTGCAGATGCGTTGCCACCTCTCAATAACGTGGGCCCCGGCTACCTCACTAACCAGACGAAACGCAGAAGTGCAACACTTCTACTTTACGTCGGACTTTTGTGAGGTTGTGGTACTAACTTGGACGGACCTGCCCATTCGTGCAACAGTGAACACTTGCGTGGCCCTACCACCATAAAATAATTTTACTGTTATACCTTTTCAGATTTGGAAATTTCTGATTTCGTCAGTCATACGCCTAGTTTAAATATGAGAACTCCTGGCCAACTGCTGTCATTAACATCACACCTGTCATTTGGTTCTGGTGGAGGAGACAGCCTGCATAATTCTGTTGCTGATACTTGTGAGAACCTTCTTGATCAACTCAAGGAGACTAGTATGATTCTGTTATATGAATATTGCACATGTGCACAAAACTGTTGTATAATTTTTTACTTTTTTATATCTTTTTCAGCTAAATTAAGAGGTATGATTGATGGTGTTAATAGATTACATGACTCTCCAATGGTAGATCATTCACAACTGTCAGGCATCCATCCATTCTTAAGTGCTGATAGTATCAACTTGGATGAAATTACTGCAAGTATTTGAAGTTTCACACATTTTTGTCAGCAATTTAAATATGTTTAGTATTTATTAGTCATTAGCTATGAAATTTAAGCAATAGCTGTATCAGTTCTGCATGATTCCTTTTGATCAATTCCAACTATAGGTTTCAAAAAAAGTGCTTGCTAGTGAAATTGAATACTATATTTGTTTCATTTTGGAAATGTTAGTTCATTGCCTATCTTGTGATGACTGTTTTATTCAATATAAATTTAAATACCTCATAATAACTCTAAAAAAAGTTACTAATAACTATAAAATTTTATTGCAGTGCCAAGATTCAGGGTCAGAATCAATAAGCTCCTACCATACTTGTGAGAGTTCTAAGAATAGCACTAACTCAAAGAGCAACAAATCAACAGATGTCAGCAGCAATAATGGCTCTTCTAATGAATCTACAGTGCTGACCGATACGCAGCATGATGAGTCTACATCTCCACTTTGTAGAGGCCAATCTTTAAAGAGAATTCCTAGGTACTATTTATTTTATTATTTTAGTAAAACAATAAATTGAGATAAGGGATATATTTGTGTTGTTTGGAATGGCAACTGTGGGGATCAGATGTTTGGCAAATGTTTACACAAAGATATCTCCTTGCACCTGGTTACCATTTCTGGTGACCCAAGAGCTGGCTCACACTTTGCCCAGTGAATGAGCCTCTCAATATAGCATGACAACACAGCAAGCTTGCTCAGTATGCTGCTCATAGATGGCGCCGTTTAGGCCAGCATTTTATCTAGTTAAGTTTTTAAATAAGTGCTTTATTTAGTAAAACTAATGTTTTTAATCATTTTATTTCTTATAATATATAATAAAATGTAAAATAAATAATAAAGTAACAAAATGTAAAATAAATAAATCTTTCTGTTTTATAATTGACATAGAAAAAAAAGCAGGATGGAGATAGTACTATCCAACAACTGGTATGGCTTTTGCCGGGTACACAATAATATTTTTACTAACTTGAATTACTAATTTACATTGATAAAAACCCAACTTGTGATACTTAAATACATAAAAAGATCAATGCCTTCTGCTCTAATGAAAATATTTTTGAAAATGTTAATAGATATCTTGGCCTTTTCTCGTAGTTATAAATGTACCCCACATAATGGATGGTTAGGCAGTAATTTTTGTGTAATTAATAAAACGATTCTATTTGCAGATACATATACAGCGTTTCGTTACAACCGCGACAATAAATGAAAAGACGTCTAACGCTACTTGCCAATAATTATAAAAAAAATATAAAACGTTAAAAAAACCATAATTAAAAATATATATTTTTCAAAGAAACTAATTAAATAAAAAAGAAACAAAATTTGTAACATCATATACAACTATAACTGACTGATTCATACATTCAGAGACATTTTCATTTGTTGCCACAACTCCGCATTACAAGTCTCTCCTTCTAACAGTATGTTTTATCTCTTTTGAATTAGTTCAACCCATTTATATGCTTTGTGACTTTTACAAATGAACTTTACGTTACAGTTTTATACGTAAGGGTGTTCTAAAACTTTTTGTTTTGTAAAATTTAATATTTCAGTAAATATAGATGTTTAAAGAATGTAAATACTTAATACAATTTTAAAAAGTTATCCTCTAAATGTGTGTTAATTTATTGTCGCGGTTGTAACAACACGCTGTATAAATTGTACTTAACTAAAAATAATAATAAACGAATTTAAGAGACTTTGTGTGGATAATTAACTTGCATGTACAGTTGAACGTCGATATGGGGCTTTTTATAAAATAGTTGCACCTAAGGGGGCAGAGGTCGGGTTTTTAGACAAGAAAATCGAAGTGGTCTGAGGAAATGTGTAATTTGCTGATCACCGATGGCGGAAGGGAATGCCATTTTTTATCGTCATACCGACTGGCTGGTTTCAATATTCTATCTATCTATAGATAAGTTTTATAGAGATATGTCAAATAACTGTTGCGAGTAACTAAATCTCAAGATAGATAGTATCAGTAGAATTTGAAAATGGCTGTTTCTGAATATTACCACTTATTGATATTCGAGAACTTGATTCCGCTGTATATTTTTATGACCCTTTTAAAGACGAAGACAATAAGTCTCGAATGTAAAAACCTTAGTTAGGCTAGTTGATATAATTATTTTTGTATTGTTAAATATATTGCATGTATTTATTGTACATATACATACTATGTAAGATGTTATGGATTTAATAGTTTTCGTGCAAAGAAAAGAAAAAGAATATTAGATTGCGAAGGCGACACACCAACTGGCGTTACGAGTTTGTTGGATTGTAAAGAAAATCACAGTGGTCTTACCCAAGAAATAATGGCACTGGAGCTAAGTCAAAACACGCCCAAACGGATTTCAATACACCCGACGCCTGAACGACGAAAGAATCCTATAAAAGGTGTTCTAAAGAAAAGGTTAGTTTATGAAAAAATAATACTCATTTTTGTTTTTATATTTAGTTTAAGCACATATGTGTGGCCAGATGTAGTATTACAGATGCAATGCTACTCTGGATGTACAAGTATATACAAGTAATTGTGTTTATTTTCAAACAAACCGATTTGTCAATTCATTCATCTGTTCAATTCATTCATCTGTATAGATTACATTCATTACATAATAAAAGACACAAATTATGCAAAGGGGACCTCCTTTGCATAATTTGTGTGTTGATATTTAATATTTTATACTATAGATATATATTTAGGGACACAGGAAACATTTTTACCCAATTTTTTCCGTATTCAAGGTCAAACTCAAATGGTAGTCTAATAGGTAATTCACTGAAAAGTTTATTGAACTGCCACAATTCGAAACTGCGTCTACTAAAAACGCGCTCAGTCGCTCTAGTCAATTGATTTAAGCAATTCAATTCAAGTTTTAGTATAATGGCGCCATCAGGGAAAAACTTGATTGGAATAAATGATTCTTGATTTAAGCAACTCTCTCATGTCGTGAAAACCTTTTACTTTTACTTTTTTTTATTTACTTTTATTTGCACAAACAACACAAATTTTTTACTCTAGGCGCTACCTAGTGAACTACATCAGTATGTAGTAACTCTTATATAACATTAAAATGTTCTGTTATATAACATTAAAATGTTCGCTTATATAATATTAATTGTAAACAATGAATAACTGAATGAGAGATTTTGCTATTGAAATTTATGATTACTTTTTAACATTAAATTACCATATATCTTATACAAAATTATTTCCATTTAGATGGGCCTCTCAAGACGACAGTCATCATTTTAATGTTGGTGTAATATTCTCAACTCCAGTGTCTAATAGTAAATCGCCAGGCAGCAAAAAACGACAGAAAGCAACTAGGTTCAATATTCCTATTGATGAACCACTGTCTGGAACGAAGGAAAAATCATTTACCTTCAGCAAACATGTGTCTACAAGCTTAGAGATTTTTTCTACAAGAAGATTAAGCAAGGTTCATAATGAAAATATTCTTACAGCATGGAATACTTTGAACTCTGTGACTATTATTAAGGAATCCTTGTTACTTTAATAGGGTGAAGTCAACAATAAGTCTCCAACTGATCAGTGCAAAACACCATTAGCAACTGCTCATACTCCATATAGAACACCTAAAAGTGTGCGACGAGGCAATCAAATATCAGATCAAAGAATCTTGGGAACTCCAGACTATCTAGCACCAGAACTACTTCTAAAGTGAGTTTGCTTTTTTTTCTTCTTTGAGGTTGTGGTACTTACACAGAAGGACCTGCCGATTCGTGGGACAGCAAAGACTGCCCCATGGCCCTACCACAGTTAAAGTTTAGATAATTTGTAGATAGTAAAGTTTGGGATATATAATTGACTTCATTATTTTTATTTTTAATTGTGATAAATTACACTATATGTGTTCAAGCCAGAAGTTTAATGTTTTATTTAGTAGTTGATTCTTTTTTTCCAATTTTATACTGTCCAACATCTCTTGCAATGCTTTTTGGTCTAGAGTACACACATGTAAATGCATAATAATTAATTTTATAGCAATTAAAATGTTTTGCAATGCTGTAGAATATTAAAAATATAGCTTTTCCTCTTTAAATTGATAAATGATGTGAGGGTGGGTACACAACACTTTAAAACAAATGTTGCTTTAACTGTAAGATAATTTGGCTGACGAAGAGTAATGCAACTGTTTCTGCTGTTACAAATATGGACAGGCTCGTCCGGAGAAATAACACAGCCTCATAGTGGTGCGAAATGGAAGTATTATATATATTTCATGTCTTGCCTGGTGAGAAAGGTATCCGCATCCCGTCAGGCATTGTTTATGTCCAAAAATTAAATACACAGGGCTGTTGCAAAACATTGCTTGTGATAAGGTTTCCAACAAAAAATACTAAATTAAAACAACACATCTTTTTTTTAACTCAATGAGTTAAAAAAAAGACGCGTGATCGCGTATATACGGACATAATTAAGGCTTTATTTTATTTATTAAGTTACTTATACTTCTATAAAAACAAAAATCTCATCATTTATCAGGAAAGGCCATGGACCACCTGTAGATTGGTGGGCATTGGGAGTTTGCCTCTACGAATTTATGACAGGAGTACCTCCATTTAATGATGAAACCCCTCAAGCAGTTTTTAAGAACATATTGTCCAGAAGTAAGTTATTTTTGTATATAAGGGTATTAGGTTATTATTTTATCGGTGCATTATCGGATTGGCAGACTTAAAAAACGCGTGATTTTTTTAATTCCAAAACTGCAGACTATTTCATGAAGGTCCTTCACCGATATAATTCGGGCGTAGGTAGACACATATATGGTTTCATGCTTTCATGAAAACTTCTGAATGGACTGACTTATCTTTATTGTCAGTTATAAATATATTATTATATGTATATAAAAAAATGAATAGCTGTTTGTGTCATAAATTTTATGCATGCGTTCAGATTCACATATTTCCTATAAAATAATTTATATGCCATCCCATCGTATTTGCAGAGAAGCATTTTCAAACCATGTAGTTTGAAAAACGCAAATATGATTATGCTCCTTTCTGGAAGAATATATGTTTGATACATTTATATACCTACTGCCAAATACTTTGAAGTATTTTTAAACCTCGCCACATAGCGAGTCCGAAGGCCTTATGTTACATTTTAATAAAATCTAATTGCATGACGAACACAATTGTTTTAGTTTGCACGATGATTTAATTGACTTTAATTTCAGATATAGAATGGCCAGAGGCGGATGAAGCATTGTCTCCTGATGCTGTTAGTGCAATAGAAGCTCTTCTCACGATGGAACCTGCAGAGCGTCCAGCGACGAAACAAGTACGTGTGATGCCGTTGTTCCAGCACGTAGACTGGGAAAATCAGCTAAATACACAGCCGCCCTTCGTCCCAACTCCGGATGATTTGCATGATACTGGATACTTCCAAGGTATTAAGCAGAACTTTTTTAATGCGATAATTCGTCAAGCGACCAAGCGTTTCACCTGACCTTAACACCAGACAGTTCCCAGATGCCAATTAATAAAAAAAGTGGGCCCGGTTAAATCACTCACTGGAAAAAACGTGAAAGTATAATATTTCGACTTAATGCTGGTCTCCTGTGAGGCTGTGGTACTTATCCGGATGAGACTGCCCAATCATGCAATAGCAATAGCTACTACATGGCCCTTCAGTTAAAAGAACTACATAATAAAATTACATGTACATTACATCCTTAAATGTCATATTTTGAATAGGAAATAATGATTGTTTATGTTCTTTAAATACTTCTAATTATTTACGTCACCGAGTTGAAAACATTCCTCAGCAATACTTTAATCAACCATTTTATGAGTGTTTTTCTTAATATTACCTACTTATTTTTCAGCGCGAAATATTTTACAGCATTTACATGTATCTAACTTCGACATGTAAAGTATCCAATCATAGAAATACTACGAGAGTTAAGTGTTCCAAGTGAAAAAATAAAGATAATGAAATGGTAAAATATGTGAGATATATTTAGGCTAACATCAATTTACTTCTGTAGTCACTGTATGATATTCATAACGGCATAATACATTGCTTTCTTGATTTACTGTACTGAAATTTGAACATGTATTCCTAATTGCTAAATGAATATTGCACACAAAGAAAATAATACTTTAATGCATAGTCGATCAATGTAAATAAAAAAATATTATTTGTGTTAATATTTATTAAAAGAAATATACTATTTGGCACATTGTAAGGAATTTTTATTTGTATGCCTTTGCCCAAATCAAGTAAACCAATTTATTAAGAAAGACAAGAAACCGGTATTGTCTTTCTCAAAATAATTGATGAATACATTTATAGATAATTTACATTATAATATGCAATTAGAATTTTAAGCCTGATTTATGCACAATTTTTAAGTCGGCCTAGTTCTTAGAATTTTTCTGTATCCATGGTAGGAAGGCGGTAACGCGAGTGTACACGCCAGGATATTGCCCTTTACCGCATCCAATACCCCACGAGACCACTCCCACTTGAGTCCAACGACCACCTTCGTTCACCATCAAAGGACCACCACTATCACCCTGTGAAAGAAGTAGGCGAAATTATTTTGTAAAGCATATTTGCAATAACCGTAATTATATCCCCTTAGCAGCTGATAAAAATTATGAAATTTCTCATCTTTTTTCCCCCTGCCCTTTGCCTAGGTGGGAACACCACATGTGCATCTTGTTATTAATGGTATTGTAGAGGTTATTTCTCCTTGCAAATAAACACCCAGATCCTGAACAATTATTCTTTGGGTCTCACAAATACTTGTACCATTGACGTCCCGTGTGGGAATCGAACCCACGATCGGCAACTGTGCCTCCTCGATTTTAATCTGTACTTTACCCGGTATTGTTTCGTTTGGTAGAAGTGCAATTAAAAATTAATAAATACGTAAACAGAATGAGTCAAACATACTTCTATACCGTATCTGTTACGATTATATAATGCGTTTCAAATAAGACTAGGAACGTCACCTTGCCAGACCTAGCGAGTCATTAGAGGTCATTGACTTTGGGACATCAAAATCGTGGGAAAGTCCACTGTTTACTGTCATTTGAAAAGTACGGCTTGCAATAAAAATTAATTTTTGCAATTTTAAGTGACGGTATCAAGGAAAATATCTTGAGGAGAGCACTGTATTTTCCAAATAATAATAAACAAATATATTTCGAAGATAAGTGAAGTCTGCCAATCAGCACTGGAGTCGCGTGGTGGAATGTGCCCTAGCACCCTCTGTACAGAGGTGGCCTTTGCCCAGCAGTGGGACATATAGGCTGTTACTGGTATACGGAGATTACGTTATAGTAACTGCGTTTTTGGTTCGAAACTAACCTTTGAATCATGATCGTTCAATATTAAAAACTTACACTGCAAGAGTCCATGCTAGCCTTGCCGGCGCAGATCATATGGTCGACGATACCACCTGGAGCCGCAGAGCCGTACTTCAGACGACAATCCGAATTCTGCCAAATCGGGATCGTCACCTCTTGCAGTACGGATGGCTGAGGACCACCTGCAAAAATGCAACTACATTTTCAACAATTGTTACGATAATTGACAATGGAATATAGTTCTTTTCTTGCTTTAAATTCTGCAGCCATTTTACGCGGCATTTTGATTCATTTGTCTATGGGAAGCAAAGTAGTCATGTATATTATTAAGGAAAGTGCTATTAAGCGTTGTAATGATTAAGTTCCCTAATGATAACCCCATTTTAGTAATAGTCATTGTTATGAATAATAACAGTAATTATTATAATAATTATGTATGTTTTATCTATAGTCCCAACCAGACGAGAACATAAGATGGCCATAATTTTTAAGGTTCTAGGACATATTTTTGCACAACATTATCTAGTTCTTCAAACTGGCACATAATATAGTACAAGAATAAATCTAGTAGTTGGGATCAAACCCGCGCACACTGGCGCACTAGTTCACTATTCAAGTATCCACTACGCCAATAGTGTCATCATTTTAACTTTCTAATGACTTCTAAGTAAATTTGTGCACGAAAAAGAAAGTTGTCGTAAAAGGATCTTGTAGCGGATTATAAACACAGCACAGAGAAAGTTCATGGCCAACACGACATTACGGATGCTACAGAGCTCGGCTCGAACTGTTTCCGCAATTGCAGAAGTTCTGCACGCTTTATTACATCCGATTCTGCTTCTGTGTCTACAACTTTTATAACGGAATGAAGAGTTGAGCGCGATTGTTGAGGTTGGGGTCTAATTTATGAAAACACCTCAGGAAGCTTGCGGGTATAGTGGCGGTTAAACTACCTTCCATAAAACTATATGTATATACAGGGTCGCTTTTCTAAAGGCGGATTTGAGAATTTTCATACAGGAGATTCAGACTCGGTAGTATAATCGTTTATTGAAATAAAAACAATTTAAAAAAAAAATTGTCCATTCTATTCCCTAAAAAACAGAACTTGTTGACAATGCGGTAGTTATTCATAAATGTGTCGTATACTTTTGAAACGAACTTGTGTGCGTGTTAGTTATGAATAATCGCGCGTAAAATAAATGAGTTGCCCATAAATCACGCACTTTTTGAGATAAGTTAAAATGAGTGTAATTAATGAATTACGAGTGATTTTAAATATTTATCATTTTTTATATTACATTATTTACGTCTAGAATTTAATAAAAAAAATTGATACACTTAGAAAAGCCTCCCTGTATAACTTTGTACATATGGAACAATTATTTTGTTAGAGAGGATTGTTACTTACTCTCGCGTAAACTGCCCCATCCTATGACGGTAGCCACTTGACCAGCGTAGGCTCTGTTGCCACTAGGCAAGCATATCGGACGAATTGACTTCGAAAACGTCACTGGTTGGTCTAGCGTGAGAAGAGCGACGTCATTGTACTGTAAAAGTATTTTTAAGTTTATTGTGACAGAAATAATGGTCTTGTTCTTGTCAGATTAAATTATTGAATTTATATCTATTGAAATTAGATTGCAGGCTTTAATACGCATCACACTAAACATATCTAATAGTAGGACAGGAAATATTTGTATGTTTTCTTTTTATTTACTTTTAAGTTTGACCTTCGTGCGTTTACCTATTAATATAGTTTTATAAAACAAATAGCAAATTTTCATTACTCAATAATAATATTATTGTAGTAGAACTGCAATTGTGCAGATTATTTATTTTATTTTAAACTTTATGCCCAAAAAAATTATACATTTGTACAAAGGCCTTAATGAATGATGAGACTTAATGACCAAAGGCATATTAAACGCAATAAAAGTTTTCCGCATGGAAATTTATGGCATTAAAATACAAATCAAACATATCATTTGAATGGTACCAATGTCTGCATGTTGAATCCTCGGTGTCTGACAACTCGTTTGATTTTCCTCTCTACGTGTTGCGTTTCGGTGTTGGTGCGAATGTTGTGATCGCCCAGGCGGGCAGTCAAGCGAGCCACGTCCCACGACGTCATGCTATAATAAAATACAGAAATATTTTGAACAGTACACAATATAGGATGAATTTTATCATTTAAAGTATCTAATTAAAAACAATATTATTTCTGTGTGCGCATCTGTTTGAAATGGTATACTTTTCATTTATAATTGACCTAAAATCTTCAAGTATGTGTATGTACAAATTAAAATCAAAGCGAATTTAGATAGGTATCTACATGTCTTCACGAATTTTACTTTGTAACGATTTCACATTTCAGATTTGTAAGGTGGAGTTGTCTCAACGTCATTTATACTATTACCGATATTGGCTAGGATTTTTAACGGTCGCCTGCCTGAAATCAAATATCCTTTAAAACATTTCAGAATTATTTACTTTAATTTAATCGAACGATAGTGATGCGCTAATTCTGTTTAAAATAACGCACGCATGTGCACAAGCACGGCCCCACCCAAGATACGGCGGAGTGCCGTATCAAGCTCACGGGTTCTGGCTACCCCACGAGTTCGGTGTTCGATGAAGCTTTCATACGGCCTGAGAGCAAAAACATCAGTTAGAGTATAGGTATATCCAAAATTGGACAAAATTAATTTCATTCCATTTCATTTCGCTTTTATACCATCAGTAATTATTGATATAAGGAAATAAATAATAGTGTGATTAACAAAAAAAAATGTAGAAAAGCGCGGGGTGCTTGGAGTCAATTGTTATAATATTTTAATGACAGTATATTCAGTATACTGGTAAAAGTAGAGTCATAATGGAAATCTCTTAGACGCGAGATGAGACCTATTATATAATATCTCATCAGATACTGTGAAAGACCTGCCGGGATCAAACCATTTGGAGCGGTGACTATCAGAACAATTCCTTTAAATACCAACCTATGTCGATCACCGTTTAAGCTAGATAGGGCCTAAATACATAGGTAAATGATGGGATAGTACTGTTGCCAGAATATTCTTTGACTGCGACATATCTCTGATGATGGTGTGATCTCTGTATATTTCAGGTCTGTATATCTCAGCCGCCATTTTTGGCCACTGGTATCGGCGGGTATATAAAATGAGGTAGACACGACTTTTTTTTTACGTCGCCTTGTGGGTAGGCAGCAGGCGTATGTGGGAGTTACACGTTCTCACTAAAAAACCCATGTTGCACCTGCGCTATCGCTTTGCTGGGGACACGGGAACAAGAAAACGCAATCTTCCGCGAACCCCGGCGCGACTGTGGCCTTCTCAGGCCTCCTCTCCCCGGGTGTTAGGGACACCCGGTCCAGCCAAATGGTGCCGTGTCGGTGCAATGAACACGGCACCCCTCTCAAGCCCTCCGCGGGGCAGCAGTTAGTCCCACATCTGGCGCCCTTGGGCTTGCTATCAGGGGGGAAGATTGCGCGCGTAGGCCAGCCTCGAGGTAGACACGACTAGACGAACTCCCGACGGGGACTCCCAGCTTTAGTCGTATAATTATTATACATAGAGAATAAACTGGTGGTATTACTGTGCAACACAATGAGCTGCCGAAAGCACGTGTCTGTCGTCGATTATTGAGCCGCCGCAAAACTGCCGCCCCCCGTTGAACAGCGCCACGATCCACGGCCACTCGTTCAAGTCGGCATTATGACCGCCCACGATCCTCTCCTCGTCTTGCAGCTCGTAAGTATTGCCGTAAGTCTTAAAACGAAAAAATAATTAAAAAAAACCCGACTGCGTTTCCGTGTATTTTTTTTATTTTGATATACAAAATGTCACTCTCACAGCAAATACGAATCTAATGTCACCTCTCAAGCTAAAATCCCTCAAGTCGTTCAGGCTGCAGAGCGTGCCAAACAATTATAAATACATACATACATACTCTCGAAAAAACATAAATCTCCTTCTGGCGCAGTCGGTTAAAAAACAAATAGATTCGAATTTCATTTTACAACATTAGGTACGCATTTCTTAAGTTTTCGCGAATATTGTACATTGTTAAATAAAACAGTATTATTGCGTTTTATTTTGATTTTAAATTGCTTACGTTAAGTTTTATAAACTTGGGGAATTAAAAATCAAAATATAATGGTATAATATCCGTTGAAATAGTATTTAACCACATTAGGGAAGGTTGACCTGATTTCTTACCTGAGGGCCGTTCTTTATGCCACATGAGCCGTCTACAGATGGTTGGCCAGTCGGTTTAGTTGGTTGTGTCGGATATGCGGGAGGCCATGTCTGTAAAATCAATTATCTAATAATTCTAGAGTTATCAGAGTAAATTAATTATTAAAATGTTATAATAAATATTATAAGTATTTGTAACTGCGTGAAGTTATTGGAAATAAAACGATACGTTTAAGAAGGTCGAAAAATGCTAGTAATAATAGTTAAAATAAAAAGAAATATCGCACTTGTTTTGTGGTGCTTGCTGGAGGTTTAGTTCCCCAAGTTGTTGTCGGTGTACTAGGGATTCCGGGCTTACTCGTAGTAGGCTCAACGTTACCAGCCACTGTGAATGTAAGGATATTTATAAGATAAAGTCTAAAAATATAAGGCTCAGTAGCCATGGCTTTAATATCTGCAAATCTGTATATAGTTTTTAGTGAAGGTAGTCGAAAACAGCCTGTATATGTTCCACTGCTGTGCTGTGTGGCTCTACGCGACCCCACTGCAGAATTTCAGATTACAAATTTCTTTTATTATTATTTCGAAAATATGCAAGTTTCATCACAATGTTTCACCTCTAAGCATGTCATAAGTCAGCACTTTTGTTGTTGGCAGTGGGATTTGAACTCAGGATTTTTCGTTTGAGTCACTAAATCACACAGCTATCATTTTCATATTATGTTTTATTTTAAAAACCAAAACATACTTGGATTTTACTATTTACCTACTTTGTTCGTCGCTAATCACGGCACAGAACTTAACTGAACAACATAATAAAATTATATTATTAAATTTGTATCATGATATAAATTTAAATCTTTTTGCAATAAAGTCCTAACAAACCTTTTTTTTTAAATTATAAACACAGCATAGTTCAAAAATAAACAGTGACGGTCTAAATATTTAGTATTAATTTGCATACTTAATGTTTATCGGCGGTTATTTAATAACAGTATAAATGGTACCAAAAGAAGGAGGATGAGTTGGTGCAGCGTGATTCGGTGGATGGGTTGGTAGCGGCGGAATAGGAGGCGGCCAGTTTTCTGGTATTTGACGTACTCGATTCACATCACTTAAACTCCATTGATGTGATAGCGAGGACAAGATTCGGCCTGGAAACCTACAAAGCAATATTTATTACAACGTTGAAGTAAATACATGAAGTAATGTTTTATTTTTTTTAATTTTTAAGTGACTTAGTGGCTAAGAAGTTGCTTCGCGGTCTAGGCATGAGCACATGCCTGCATGAGCACATGCGCGGCCTTACCCACAGCAGAGGGCCCAAACCCGTGGGTTCTGGCTAGCCTACCGGTTCTGCGTCAGATGGAGCTTTAATAGTCTCGGGACTGCAAGCAAAAACATCAGTTAATACAAGATTCGCGGTCTAATGTCTGAGGATTAACTCCCAATTGTGCATGCGCTTTATTGGCAAACTTATAAGGATAAGAATATAAACACTCGATTTGTACCTACCGTTATCATATTATATCTGTTGTGCATGAACTATTTATTAAGTCATTTTAAAGTTTATTTATGCATATAAAATTCTTTCCAAAAAGGGCGGACTTAATCGCCAACTCATTTTCTGCTGGTCAACTAATAATAAATAGCAAGAGAAACTAATACGCGTGAATTAGATACTACTTAATCATAATATTTTAACTTACTATGCAGGACAACTGATTATATTAAACTACACTGACAGAAATAATAAAACAACTTATAAATATAATAATACACACATATACAGCGTGTCGTTACCACCGCGAAAATAAATGAACACATGTCTAACGCTACTTGCCAATAATCATTAAAAAAAAAATTCACGTTAAAAAAAGCCATAATTAAAAAAAATATTTTTCAAATAAACTAATTAAGTAAAAAAGAAACAAAATTTGTAACACCTATACAACTACAACTGACTGATTCATACGTTCAGAGACTTTTTCACTCGTTGTTACAGCGTCGCATTACAAGCCACTCTTAGCAGTACGTTTTGTCTCTTAAATTCATGCAACCCATTCATATGCTATGTGACCTTTACAAATGAACTTTGCGTTACAGTTTTATACGTAAGGGTGTTCTTAAATTCTATTTTGGAAAAAAAAATTAAATTGAAATTAAAAATTGAAAAAAATTAATAACTCGGTAAATATTGATGTTCAAAGAATGTAAATGTTTAATAAAATTTTAAAAAGTTATCCACTATATGTGTGTTCATTTGTTGTCGCGATTGTAAAGACACGCTATATTATACATACACACTCGATGTGAGTCCCACAACACAGGATAATATTATCCTACAGTATGGGCTTTTTATTTAAAATATTAAAAAATGTAAGAGTGGAATGATAACTTTGAGTATGTGCTTACAAGCCCTCCTTTAAATGACTAGTGACTCTTAGCCATATTTATTAGATTGGATGAAAAAAGAAGGGTGCGTCAGAACGGTGAGAAGCAGGGCCGGATTTAGGGGAGGGCAACCGGGGCAACAGCCCCGGGGCCTCCACAAACGTGGGGGGGGGACCCCACAATAGAAAGTTCGGAAAAAAATTTCAAATTCAGAGTAGTAAACAATAGTAAATAACTTTACCTTTCATATATTTTTTCGCGTTTTACTTTTAACTACAGTACTTTGCACAAACATGATTAAATTAAATATTAATAGAAATCAATATAAAATAATTTGGGGGCAAGGGGCCTCCACTTCTTTGTTACCCCGAGGCCTCCAGACCTCTAAATCTGGCCCTGGTGAGATGGACATTTGAAGAGGCTATTATTCGTCCAACGAAGATATTTATTGTTAACAGTAAGGTATACTACATTCTGTACACAATACTTTAAAATCGTTCGTAACGTTAAGATTGCAGGCCTTAAGGAAATTTAAATAAAAACACTTTACCCGGCAAAATATGTAGGCGGCGCTTGTGCCGGTACCACTTGTGGGAGATCACCGAATCGTTGGACATCGGGCTCCTGTTGCGGGGGTGTGCCCGCCGGTTCCGTACAACAAACGCCGAACACCTACAGCGATACATTTTAAATTCGTATCAAGTTTAAATATTACAGATACAGCAACAAGCCTAAAGAAAACGTCGGACGCGTGGAATTGTTGTTTCAATGTCTGCACAAGGCGAACGGCTTGTCATGTAATCAAGAAGTAATTCGACTTGCCTTATATTTACTGCTCCTTTTTTTATTTATAGGACGTACAAAAAACGCATCTAAAAGCGGTTGATTTTAAGTTTTGATCGATCGGGAAAAGTCTGGATTTGAAAAGTACTACTGGGAACAGAGCTCTTTTGTAAAGAGGTATTGAGAGAGTGGTATTATTGAACCACGCAACCTCGCTGCAGATTGGCAGTCTTCACATATCTTGGAAATATTTTTTTTATTATTATTTCGAAAATATACAGGTTGCCGCAATGTTTTCCTTTAACGCTGAGTACATGATATTTATTACTTAAAATTGCAATTAACACTTTCGATAATGCCACCAGCGGGATTTCAACTCGGGTTGGTCTACTCGAGTATTAAAAGCGATTAAAAGCGATTTTGGTGGTATAAACACATGAATACCTCCATGTTGTTAGAATTGACGTAGCTGCATGTGTCGTAGTGGCCCATCACCCATCCATCCCATCCAGATAAGTCCACAACTTTGAAAAGCGGGTAGCAATCGCGAAAACTCTTACATGTCCCCTTTTTTCCCACAGTTGTTTCACAGTCCAATCCGAGCGCTCCGACGGCCTGTCATGTATTCACATAAAAATATCAACGATACGAACGTATACAAAAATAAATATTCACATTGTTTAAAAAGAAATAAAAGAAAGGCGTAGCAAGGACACCATATTGTAACCTTGGCAATAAATGTCCAAAGATTGAAAATCAAAAAAACAAGTTTGTTAAATTGTCTTCCTGCATCAATAAATCTCTGTACAGGTCTGTGATTAAATTATCAATATCACAAGTTCTTATTGTTAGTCTCTTGTACTGTGCATTTGTCGATAATATATATATATATATATATATATATATATATATATATATATATATATATATACATATATATGTATATATATAGTCAAATTTAAGTGGAAAGTATTATATTCAAAAGAAATTATTTAAAAAGAGATCAACATAAAATTAACACAATAATATAAACGAATCGAACAATTATACAATTCTGTATATATATATATATACAGAAATTGGTCATTTAAAGGATAAGATTGATTTATATGCGGCTTGTTTACCTTCTAATAATTGTACTCGTTCGATTCGTTTATATTATTGTGTTAATTTTATGTTGATCTCTTTTTAAATAATTTCTTTTGAATATAATACTTTCCACTTAAATTTGACTTTAACGTAACTTTTAATGATTGAAGACAATGAAATGGTCGTAAAACAAACAAATAACTAAATGCTGTCATTTAATTGCAATACATCAATCAGTTCTGCTTTTAGTTTATTTTATATTATTTACACAATCAGCATGTAATTTGGATGAAATTTAAGATTCATTGATACATTGCGATTCTGTTATTGGTGTAAAATGTTATGTAAGTTTAATTGACACTTAAAGTTCATATAGCGGCTAATATGCGCATAATGCGCACAGACATTCACAAAAGCTTTGCATACCCTGTCGTCCCATATAAACACACCCTACAACACTGAAACACACCAGTTAAAATTTATTGTAGTTAAAACAAAGTTAAAATCTCACAACCTTCTCAAATGCCGCTTTGGGTAACATTCAAGTGAATTGTTATATGTCCATCAATAACTTAGAGAAATTGATACGTTTTTTTAGCAGCTTATGCTGTCTGATCTCTGTGCCAGCCATTATGGTTTGAACTTGAACTTGCTAAATTATCAAACGCGCTTTACTCTCACACATTTCAATCATAGTATATATATTTCCTAATAAGATAAATGTTGATTATAGAGAAGTGACCACGACTTTAAGGTAAGTGTCGCATTGGCTCCTGAGCAGACAGAGGGAAATCTGCTGACCTAAGTCCTACACTTTACAGGTTGGTGATGATGATGAGAATAATGATAAAAGTGGTAACGTTACCTGTTTTGCTCCCAGAAGTATTTGTTTAGCGTCGCGTGTATTGTTTAGTGAAGCGCGACGCACTCGTGACACTGCAGCTGTAATGAATATTTAGAATTTAATAACAATTAAAATATGTAAAAAAAGTACGAAAAGATTGTCGCCGCTGTGGGAATCGAACACATGTCTTCGGCATTCGCGGCCTGATGCTTTAACCACTAAGCTAAACGGCTGAATGCCATACCAACGAAAATCTTAACGTCTTTATTTATATTTGTTAAACGGTTTTATTTAGCTCGACACGTACGGAATTTATTTGTTTATTTGGGTCAAAATTAGAAATTGAAATTTAAGTACCTTCAGGTTGTCAGATTGATCTGAAATTTGGTACACACATTTAATTTAGATGACAATACAATATTGTTGTTTTCAGTGCACAAAAAAAAAACTGAAAATAAAACCGTTTAACTTAAAAGTTTTTAAACGGTTTTATTTATCTTATTTTTAGCATTTGAAGCAATGCTTTGTGCATCTATTGTTATATCGTTTCCAGAATACAAACAATTTCAAATATCATTTTACAACGATAATTCGAAGGAGAGATGTCGCCATTGCTTTTTAGAATTAGAAGACGTGGGTTCGATTCCCACAGCAGTGACAATCTTTTCGAACTTTTTCTACAAATTTTAATGCTTGGAATAGCTTGGAATGAAAATTTCTACAATGAATATTTGAAAACTAGAGATTGCTATTGGCTATTTTTTATTTGTTTGTGCTTAAAGTGTTATAAATATAGTAAAAATTGTGTGTATACTTATGTGCGCACATAAGAAGTTATACTTCTTATTGAAGAACAATAACTAAAAATTTTTGTCCCCTGTGAAAGTACACTTTGTTTGCGAAAAATACTCTCATACATTTTTCCAAACACGCCAAAAGAAGTATAACTTCAAAATATAAATCTTACTAAAAAAATATAATCAGAAGTTTTCTTCATTCACTTGTTCATCATTATAAGCTATAAATAAAGAATGATGCTTTGTTTTTCAAACTGTTTTTTCAATCTTACAAAATGCAAGTCTTTATTGATAAATTGAAACATTAATAAGGTAGCCGACTAAAGGAGCGCTAATTTCAAAAGTCGAGTTGAATTTAAAAATATGCTATAAATGCATAATAACGCTTATCGAACCCAATAAACAAAGTCATTAAATAAAGAAAATCGAATACCATAAAATGTCGATAATAATAAAACGATCGCAACGATATTTATTAAGGTTGCTTTAATTTAGCATGTCATTGAACCGTTTTCTCGGGATTTAAAAGGGAAAAGAAATCGCATTAATAATAAGGAAGAATATATTTTCTTAGACTACTTTTAATTGTAGCTGTATGTAGATTTCGGCTGACATGCTAGAATTTGCAAGAAATTCCTGCATATGTTTACATCGTCGTGACTTTTTCTATACAAGCATATCTGATTTAAGGACAGTGTAAAGTATGCGTAAAACCGGTAGATACCCAATTGATTATTCCCGTGGCGTTCAAAAAGCATCGGTCCCAACGTGCATACAAGTTATTTTGATCGCTGCATAACGGTTACCGTTTAGTATAATATCGCCGCATTGGCACCCAGTGCCAATTTAAACTGTCATTACGGTCCACGTGAATGTCACATATTAATGACACGAATTGCGTGGCATTATACGCAGGCTATGCGACTAAATACAAAGTTCGTTTACATTATTCACGGCTTTAATATATGTGCTTACTCGTGTGATTGCACTGCATTCTTTTACGCGAACTCACTTATTATCATTATTGAAATGCCTTTAAGTTATTAAATATTTGTCACGTTTCTTTATATGTTGTCTTAAAAATGTTGATATTAAAGGAAAACTCAGACAGTGAACATTTTGTATATTTTTTTTTCATTTCCGTACAACTTAAAGTTAAAAATAAAAAACTTAATATTTTACACTCTTTATTGACGGGTCTTTAATCGTTAGGATACGAAGTGTAGAGTACAGGGATAAAAGAAATATTGATTATCATTTATCAAACAACTTAATGTCTAAACAAATTAGGTATTGACATGTCAATATGTATGTATAAAATTACCAATAATCATGATTTGTCGAACTTACAGTTATTAGTTCCATATGCGGATTCGTCTAAAAACTTACAGGTCTATGAGTAATAAAACCGTTATACGAAACTCAGTGTTTCCCATTTGTTTGATAATAATATTGATGTTTAATAGTAAATCATTCCCCCAAGAATGACCATCGTGTAATTAATTATAAACAAACAAGATAATTACTTCAATTCACGTAGGCATTAATGCCATCTGAATAATCGCAAAAATAACTTGTAATACAGAAAAATGAAAAAAGCGTCGACAACCGGCCTTGGATAGAGTAGCAGTTTCGTACGAGTGGCAGATTCGTCTCTGTGACTAAATCCGATTTCAGACGACACTGATGAGAATGTACGAGTAATAAAAATTCCTAGGATCGACGTTAAAAAGTAAAAAAAGGTTCAGTTTGCTATACATAACACACTAGTGTTATGTACTGTATGTAGAGTAAGTAAGGTTAGTAGCGCCGCGCTATAATGAAAGTATACGCGTACAACAAGATCGAGATAATATTAAAATACAAAAAGTACATTTAGAAAAAATCTAGATTGTAAAAATTTATTAATAAAATCAACGATGTTTAAATAAAGACGACGTTTCCATACTGCGCGGCGTATAAAAAAATTGTTCCATTTTACATTATATAACAAATTTTATAGGTGAATGTGACAGATGATATAAAAAGATACGAAAAGAGATAGCAGGCTATAGAAATGCAATCTAATTACACCGATTCGTGAATTTTTTGGTGCACCAATGTCATATCTACATCGTGTCTGTATGTAATATCATTGAATAAAATGTTTACACTCTCTAAGTTACAGCTTTCAACTAGACATGTTCTATAGCAAGTTTTCTTTTAAAAATTAGAAGATATATAACAAAAATATAAAAAAAAACAGCACTTCTGAAGTTAATAAGAGTTTCTATCGAATTAATTCAAATAACTCACATATCAAAGTAGCTCGTAAATAGCCCAATTTTTTTTTTTAAATAATACTTGTAATACAAAAGCTTACCTATATGATTTAAGCAACACGCAAAAATATAACATTAGTGATTTCTTCTTTTTACGCTATATATTAATTATAATACATAGTATCCTTTTGCGTAGGTCGGAATAAATATAAATAATAAAATAACAAACGGGAGCCCGAGGTAACTACTCCTATGAGATCAAGACGTGAATCAACCATTGGCGTATCTAGAATTATTTTTCAGGGTGGGCCTGGGCCCTTACTACAAAAAAAATCGAACACTATGCGTCGCATTAAAAATTAACAGTTCGTTGCCGTTAATATTTTTTTAGTAAAAACTAAGTACGTAAATAGATTTCTCGGCTGTAGATAATTATTTCATTTCAACTATTTTTTTAAGAAGTTTCTTAGCCAACTACTTGATAAAACTAAGCAATTATCAGATTCACAGTACCGTGGGAAAGTGATTTCTGGATGTAAAACAACACTGAAACGCTTTAAACGACTCATGTAGATTCAGCTGTAATTAATATAATTAATTCGTGACGTCTCAATTCAGAGCCTCATTTCGAAAATTTTTATTATACATAAGTTGCAGCGAAAACAAGTTAAAAAACTTAACGGAGGGTTAAATCCCTGTATTTCAGTAGAACCGTTCGTTTAGTTTTCATAGAGTGGCGAGTTTTAGCCTATAAGTTACTAACATGGTTAAATAGACCCATTTTATGGATTTAATTTATGGGCACGAGTTAAACCGTGCCGGGAATACTACAGGGTTCGAAACGATAGGAATTTAAAAAAAACTAAAAAAATGCCACAAAATCCATAAAAAGGATGTAATCACAATAAGTAGTGCTCACGTAAACGAAAGTAATCTTTAATTTAGTGATATTATTTCGAGATTGTCATCGCCACCGCCTATGATGTTAATAATTAGTTATTTTGAGTATTTACTTCGAGCAAAAAGACTCGATATTTCCTTTATACTTAGCTTAAGTATTTGAATTTCTCAACAAAACGGGATCATTTTGAAGACAGTTACAGTTACAGTAAAAAACAAAAATATTAAAAATATTATTGTTTTTACTGTATCAATATAGCTATCCCTGGCTAGCTTTAGGCCGTTTTTTTAAGTCCCACAATATGACTATCGCTGTACTCGAATCAATAATTTGGTAACATGATATTTTGGGCCATTACAGGTTGCGTTCGTAAATCCAGAAGACAAATTGCAATTATTATCTAATTATTTTCCTTGAAATATTTCTTATATCTAAAAATCTAATTATCCATAAAATATCCTAAATATTGTCTATCTTCCCTAAAGCTGTTATGTTAACATTTCTAAGGAACAATTCTTATAATACTCGAGCGCTTAGAAAGACTAATTATTATAAGAAGTTATATTTTTAAGCTAAATTCATTGCTTGTTTTGTTATTACTTTTTATACACGTTTAGTGTTCTATTACATAGAACTAACATAATATATAAATTAACATAATAAATAATTAATATATATATAAATAGATAATTAACATAATATATAAATTTTAATATAAATTATATTACTTCAATTATGTTTCCTAACACTTATTCCTTATAGATGCTCAAGTAAATATTTTGACGCTGTAAGGACATACAAGCTAGTCTTTTGGTATTTTAGTTTAAATACATTTATTTATTTTAGTAATTAATTACTTTTAAAAATATAAAACAGTGCGTGATTTAGCTTCCAAAGAATAATTGTTATGTTATACATGTTAAAAGGCTTTACACATATGCGTATGTTAATAAGAACAGATTTATAGGTCGGGTCCTTTCATAGATAAGTTCGCTAGCATATCTCGTCATAAGCCTGTTGGATTGGTGATAAATACAATTAATTGTGCTATAGATTCCGGGTTCAGACTTCAATGTAAGGAAATGTCAGCAAAGTTGAGTACTCCTTTGGCTCGATCTAATTAATGCCTTCGTCGCGGGAGACAAAAAATTTAACAAGTGAATACCATTAAATAAGGAGTCGGAGGGACAATACTTGATTGATGTAGCTTGCGGTTCAGTGTGGGCGTTATACATTTGCATTGAATCGATTTTGTCGACATCATCCGAATAACATGTCCCGGGTTGATGACTTTTTTAAGAAACGTTGATGCCGTAGTTCAATCTTGAGATGGTTTTTTTGTTGAAACAACTAGTCTCTTTTGTAGTAAAAGTGAAGCCGTTCTTGTCGTCGTGTTATTTGTTTACAATTAACATATTTCCGTTTTTCGTTGTGCCTTTTGCAGACATCTCAATACAAAATTGTTACTTTCTCTAGCCTCAAAACCTCATATTCACGCGTCGTACATTGTTTTGAGACCGCACCATAGGAATACTTGATATGGTGCGCCAGTATTGATAAATCAATGATCGGATATGGAAAAAATATAGTTTCTTAAATCGTTACTAAAAATAGAACTTTAAACAAGAAAAATGTATAAAAAGTAATCTTGTAAGCTAATTTTATTAAAAAAAAAATAACTTAATTTATTTTCTTTTTAATTTCAAGGAGAGGAAAATGAAAAGTATGATTGCATTATTAGATAAGATGATTAAAAAATCAAAAAAAATCTCACCATTAATAACAACTGCATCATCGGTGTAAAATGCACCATTTGTTTCAGAAAAATGTTCCGCTTTTTTAACAACACTGTCGCTAACTGTAGCAGCAAATCCTAGCCAAATTATTAATAATTTCTTTTTATTTAACATTGTTGATCAAAATGGATGATAAGAAAAACCATTCACCAGTGATATACAAGTCAAATAAAAAATAAAGAAAGCTACGCGCAACGTGAAGATGTACGTTCTACAAGGAGGCTCTTCGCAAAATGCTTCAGAAACTTGATTTCGCGCCTTTATAATACGTTCACAAACACGCTCTACATTAGGTTCAAAAGATAACAGAGCTTTTTCTTCTTTTGTATTAAGCTGACATTTGCCGTCCATTATAATCGGGTAGGATAAAATATGACGTTGGGTTTAGATCACACGTCCAAAAAATTGATCGCAGACCGATAACATTTGATTTCGCAAAGTTCACATGGCATCTTAAGATCCTAACAGGAATTTCATTACTCATTTCAGAAACCACAAACCACTTACGAATACTCTAATAATCAAAAAAAAAGTAAGTGGTTCCGACCCAATAAATCGTCGGAACATAATCATTTGTGTAGGTATTGATCGCTCTTTACAAAGGAATTGTATCCAGTAAGTAATAATTGAAACCCTGTAAGTCATTATTGCTATATGTGTGCATATTATCAAAAATAATTAATTTTAAATCTTTGGACTTATTTAAATCCAAAGATTTCAGATTCTTACTAATATTTTACTTATTAAATATGAATCGATATAATTGTTATTAAAATAAAGTGTACAGTTTATTTAGTTAGGAGGGTTGTATTATAATCTTAGTTTTCGAAATGATGTATTAAATAATGTGATTATTAACTTTTAAATAGATGTATGTGACATTCATATCTCAAAATACAAGCGGAGCTTAAATTTCAATGGTTTGCTTTTGTAAGCAAATTCTTTTATTTACAGGCAACAAGCAATAGCAAAACTTGTTCGGTGGGTGTTTTAATGCTCATTTGGGATACGCCTGTATTCTTAGGACATTCTGTTT